AACCTAAATTTCAAATTTCTTCATATTCATCATTTTCAACCTCTTAATTTATAAATTTATTTGATTCTACTTTAAATTAACTTCTTATTTCACTTATCCAAGATAATTAAACATCAATTAAATACTTAGGATCATTTAATTAAATTTTTTCTCAAATGGGTCTCAAAACCCTAACCTTATTCTAATCAATTCCTTAAGTAAATCACAATCCAAAACAACGCCAACTCAATATCACCTCTAACTACACATAAACATTACGATTTAAGGATCAATTGATAAAAATCTTACCTTGACTCTTTGGTCTCAAATCCTTAATTTCTTCTTAGTTCTCCAAGCTTCCCAAGCTCCAAGCTAGCTATTCTCCACTTAATTAACTTGTTCAAAGTTTCTCTAGGCTAATTTAACATGATATGAGCTTAGGAATCAAAAAAAGAGAAATTGGGAGAAAATGGAAGAGAATGGCATGAGGGAGGGGTAAAAAAGAAAGAAAATTAAAAGACGACCAAGTCTGCCCGTTTTTATACCGACCACTTTTTTTTATTTTTATTTTTTATTTGGGTTATTACATAGAGTTACTCTATAATGAATATCATATTCTTAAAAATAATCAATATGAAGAATTAAGGTCTAAAGTAAGAGCTACTCCTGATTTGCCATCAAATTTAGTTAAAATAAGGAATGAGCCAAGGATAGTTAGTTAAAATATTATTCGACACTCATTTATGCTTTATGTTCTTTTAGAAGATATATGAACTTAGAAAGTTATGATATACTAAGAAAACTTAGAGATAAAATAAAATTAAATATAACCTATGAAGATAACCTTTTAGACATGTCAAAAGTGTTAGAAAAAAAATTACAAAAGAAGAAGGAGAATATTTTCTTTATTCTAAAAAATTAAATCATTTTATTTTACTTTGGAATTCTTTTTATTATATGAAAGATAATAAAATATTAGAAATAAAAAGAAAAGAGTCTAAAAATAAATATAAGATAGTTATAAAGTAATTTGAAAGAGAAAGAGAATGAGATCTTTTTTGGAGAAATTGATGAAATTTATGAAGAAATCGGACTCGGGCTTAAAAGTTAGAATAAGCAAATACTAGTTAAGAGACTTAAGTTATAAGTAAGAAAGTCATGAAGAAATAATTAATAAAGATATAATAGTAATTGAAGAAAAAGAAGAGACTTTAAGTCAACCTAAGTAAAGGTTTATGACAACCAAAAGAAATGACTTAACGGAATTCCTTTAAAAAATAAATGTGGAATAGAAAAGTATTATGGTAGACAAAAAGCTATAAGTAAAAACATGTGATGATAGTACAAGAACATCACTTGCAAACTACTTAATTGGCATACTTAAAAGTATAAATAGCTATTGATTCCACGATAGATCTCCTAAAAAACAAAACGGATATAAACCGAGTTGGCTATATGTATTATGCTATATGTCGGATAAAACAAATAAAATTACTTTAAAAAATTATTTTAGTGCGATAGCCTACTCTATGTCACAAGTCTATTAAAATATATAGAATCGAAGGAAAAAAATCATCAATTTTTTAATCAAAATTTTGTATTTTATTTATTTTTATATATGTTTTTCATATTTTTCTTTGTTAAAAAACATGATTTGTTCTTCTTTGTGCATTAATTCTTAAATAAAAACCTATAAAAATATAAATTAAATATTAAATATGAAAATTTTAAAAACATCCCACAATTTTTTTATAAGGTTGCATTGAATAAAAAAAAACAATAATCAATATAAAAACTTGTATAAAAAATAACAAATGAATCTTTTTTAACTTTTTGAAAATATGTTAATTTGATTTATATATACTTATTTATAAAACAATGAATAATATTAGTACAAAAAGATGCATTTGAATTATTAAGCGATTCTTGTAAAATATTATTTTAATTTATTTATTTCAAATAAATTATTTTTAGAATGTTAAAAAAATTAAACGTAAATCATTGGTGTTATGTGTGCGGATGCATAGATTATTTTTAATAAAATTAATGGCCTAAATATTTTTATACATCATGATCATATTTAGTTGGTCGAGTGTGCAGTATAAATTGAAAAGTATTTTAAAAAAAATAATTTATAAGAAATATATTGAAGTTAATAAAGTGCAATAAAAACAACTATAAAATTAATTTCGATAAAATTTGATTGTATTAAAAGGAAGGAATAAACATGTAAATTCTATTATTTAATTAATTATTTTTTAAACAAATAATTTAGAAATTCATATGTAGAGAAAAATAAATCCTATTTATTAACAAAAAAATTTCATAAAAATAAAAAAATAATGAGAATTTGCATAAGAACCAACAAATCAATTTTAAACGGTAAAAATAATGTTATCCGATATATATATATATATATATATATATATTCTAAAATTTAAAATAACATCGTATATATTTCATAATTATTAATACGTGTAAAAACGTGAAAAAATAACGATTGTTTTTCAATAATTTTTGCACCCAATTCATTAATAATAATAATAAACCTAAATTGCCTTAAAAAAAAAAAATCCAACGCATCCGGGCCTACAAAGGAGAGCTTAGATGACCCCTTCATTTTTTTAAGAAAAAATTGCAACTTTCGATGAATTAAAAATAGCTAGAATTGTCATTGGAAAATAGAGGTTCCATTTTTCAAGACTTCAGAATCTATTATCAACATCATTTTTGCTTCGAAACACCTTAAAGTCATTGAAATAAGGTCAATAAACTAGTTTGAAACTTTAACAATCATTTCAATGCACATTAAAAAAATACAAATCAAATCGAAAAGTTGAATTTGTTTTATGCTCCGATCTGTTGTATCTAACTATTTTATGATCGGAAAAGATCATAAATGCACTCTCTTTATGAAAAAAATATATATAAAAGCAAAATCAACGAAAAAACAATTGAAATCTAACTTAACTAGACCTTTCTCTCTCCTTATAAAAAACCTAAATTGCTAAAAGAAAAAAAAATCCGACACATCCGGGCACGTAGAGGCAAGCTTACATGGCCCTTTTAAAAAAAAAACTTACAACTTTCGACGAATTGAAAATAGCCAAAATCGTCACCTGGAAAATTGAGTTTCCATTTTTCAAGACTTCAAAACCCATTATCGGCATCATTTTTACTTCAAAACATCTCAAAATCACTAAAACAAGATCAATAAATGCATTTGGAACTTTAACAACCATTTCAATGTGTAGTAAAAAAAAAATCAAATTGGAAAGTTGAATTTGTTTTATGCTCCGATCTATGTTATCTAACCATTTTATGACTTCAAAAGACCATAAATTCACTTTTTTTATGAAAACCAACAATATGAAAGCAAATCGATAAAACAAGTCTGTCAAAATCTAATCTAACCAAACCTTTCTCTCTCCTTCTTTCTCTCTCTTTGTTTATCTTTCATCTATTCATCCAAGGGCCATAAATATTTTTTGAAAATGTGAGGGATCAAAAATATTTTATAAAAATATGAGGGATGAAAATAAAAAAAATGTTAAATTTGTATATGAATGTCCAAAAACACTAAAACTTTAAAAAAAAAACCACCGGAAAAAATTATTGAAATTGCCATCGGTGAATAGTGATTTTAGGTTAATAAATAATAAATACTATTCAAAACCCATGTCTTTTAATTTTTTGTAATTTACTAAAATCGATTGAAGACAATTCTATGAAACTCATAATAAACCACAATATACCCTAGCTAACATCTTAAATTGTTGAACTTTGTTATCAAAGATCAACAAGATTTTCAACGCATGCACAATTTTTTTTTCTTCTTAAATTGTTAAACCTTGCTGCACAAATTGCAATCCTTAACCCTTTATTTCAGACAAATATCATGTTTTGACGAATGTTGAATTCTTGCTAGAGAATTGCAATCCTTCAACTCATATAAAGTAATACAAATCAGTTTGTTTTTTTAAGCATAAATGCTTCCAAACTGCGTTCTAACCATTATAAAGTTCTAATGACAAATTTGCAATAATTTAAAATTTAGCCAAAAATTTGTTACTATTAATGGAATCAAAATACATAGTATTTTCTAAAATAATATTTTAATGCATAAAGTGTAAAGTGTAATTTATAAAAATAGAGAGTGCAAAGTATTCTTGCATTCAAATTACATGGTATCTAAAGTAGTTTATCATTTAAAGAAAAAACAGTTTTCAAAGGACATTCTTGTTATTGTAAAAATTGTAATAATTTGAATGTTTTTTAGTGGTAACTTAACAATAGTTGATGGAATAAAAAACTTGTTGTTTTATAAAATAAAAATAAAATTAATAGGGTGTAAAGAGTAAGTTTTGAAAAATGAGATTGTAAAGAGTGACAGGTTCAAAACACAGAATGTTTAACATAATTTATCTTTATTTTTTTTGTTACGTGATAAATAATTTTAATAAGAACTATGTGTTGTAATAGCTTCAACTGGTCGATAAGAATTATGTCATTTTATCATTAAAATATAAATAAATAATAAATAGGGATTGATTATTTTAACCTTGCAGAAACTCATATTTCGTTAAATTTCATAGTATTATACGACGATACAAATTAAATAGTTTATTCGTTTAACAATATTGATTTTCAACAAATACAGTGTTACCAGCAAACAATGTCTCTGCAGGGCGCAGGTCTGCCAGTTCTCTTTACGAGAGGAGTAGAAGACAAATTGGCCAAACATGCGACGAATACAATATTATTCACATTTTTGGATGGAGATCCCTTAACATGCTAAAAACAATATTTCTCATAATGTTATTCTGGACCAAAAGGAATTCGACAATGTTTGTACCAAACAGCCCGTAAGAGTACCCAGGCCTCAAATTGGCCCAGATAAAAATTACGATAGCGCTCAGTTTTGGGTCGGGTTGTAGATTTTTTTCGCCAACGTTGACCAATCCATCACCTTCTTCTTCTGGCTCATCACCCCCAACGCCCCTCCTCCTCCTTCACTCGCCATGGAATCCTTCCAAGCTACACCGTTTTCTACCCTCCTCTCTCATTTCCCAACTCTCCACAGCTACAACGTAAATGGACCAATGCCCTTCCCTCGAATCCCTAGACTCCATAATCTTTACATCCCTTCAAAACCATCATTCACTACCAATTATCCTTCGCTTACCCGCACTAGCTCTCAAACTCAACGCAGCAACTCACTAAAATTCCATAAATTCACCGTTTTCGCCTCCAATAGAAACCCAACACCACACAACAACACATCACCATCTGATAACAAAAATCTAATCATCACCAGCTCCGCAATTACAGTATTATTAGCCATTGCTAATCGTGTGCTTTACAAGCTGGCTCTCGTTCCAATGAAAGAATACCCTTTCTTTTTAGCTCAATTCACCACTTTCGGGTAATTCTTCTTTATTTATTTTTTCGTTAATTTGCTTGATTGAAATGGTTTAAATATTTAGTGATTATTGTAATGTGAAACTCAGGTACGTGGCGATTTACTTTTCGATATTGTACGCGAGATACCGTGCAGGAATTGTGACTAAGGAAATGATAGCGCTTCCAAAATCGCTGTTTGTTGCTATTGGTATTTTAGAAGCACTTGGAGTTGCTGCTGGAATGGCTTCTGCTGGTAATTGTGTGTGTAGTGTGTGCTTTTGTGTGCTTAATTGCAGTGGTAATAATTAATTCGGCTTTTGTACAGCTATGCTTCCTGGACCTGCCATACCAATATTGAGTCAGGTACTCTTTGTAGAAGAGTAATTTCAATGTTGCTTCTTGTCCATTTTAAACTTAAATTTGAATGATAGATTAAATTCTCTACCAAATATATTGATGCTCGCTGTTTGGGAAAGGGAAAAAAAAAATCTGTACAATCAGTGTGCCAAAAATTGGCGATGGCCATATTGCACCCTAAACCCTAAACTCTGTACTCGGCAACAAGTCAATGAATGATTTCATAGTATTGTCATTTTCTAAATGTTTTTTGTTTGTTTGTTGATTGTTATTTTTTGTCCCAGACATTTTTGGTATGGCAGCTGAGTTTTTCTGCCATTCTCCTGGGTCGAAGGTACTCGTTTAATCAAATAGCTGGCTGCTTGCTTGTAGCTATTGGTGTAGTGGTGGCTGTTGGAAGGTGTGTCAATTTATTTATTTGAATAATCCTTGCTTTAAATTTTTGCATTTTCTTTTCTAAGGTACCTTGTGACTATGTTGAAATCATTACAAGACGAAGGCACTGTTGGCACTTATCGGACTAAGACTTGAAGTTCATGATTTTAATCATGTGCGTACTTCTTAATGTGATCACTGCTATTCTCCATGTGCTTGGCTTGTTCGTGAATTTCTGATAAAATGCCTTGAATGCTGCTGGATATCCTTTCTGACAAGAAAAGTGTAGCAATTTGGCATTGTTGCTGTCTCATTTCTTGTCCCAGATGGTACTTTGGTACTGTATCTGGTTTGTTGATTTACAAAAGCACTGTGAAATCTGCTATCAAACTGGCAACTCTAGATCATGGAAAATTTCTATTCAAAATATTCAACATACTCCAACAATTCATATTCCTTTTGCTGGTACAATACTTTGGGTGGGAAAAATCTTAATTGACATTTCATCTGTAGCAATCAGAGCATGGCCAAGTCCTATGCTACTGTTTGTGGGTCTAAATCTTGCTCAGCTAATATTTCTTGAGAAGTGCAAATAAAATTGTTGAAACATGTAATAGAATTAATTAAATAAATTATCTGGAGCATGTTTGCTTTATCTGACCTTCAATACATATAATTAGTACTGATGGTAACTTGTCATTTTTATGGAACTGAAGACTGTGTCTGCCTATTTTTTATTAATTTATTTATCATTTTCCGTCTGTTGTGAAGTGAAACTGTTGTAATCATTTGTGTGTTCCATAATTGACATTTTAATGAAGCGGATCTAATGCTGATGAGATGCTATCTGGAGTTGAATTCATATGGCCAGCAGTAATGATACTATCAAGTGCTTTTCAAGCTGTTGCATCTATCATTAAGGTTACAGCTACAAACAGTAGTTAAAGTTTGGACTGTATGCTGCATAAAAGAAAAACAACCTTGATATCTGTTTATTCACAGGAATTTATATTTATCGATGCAGCAAAACGCCTAAAGGTATGCCCTATTTACTACCTAATGTTATTTGCCATTTCATTTAGTTTCATGCATGGAATTTCACAGAGTCCTCAACCTGGTTACATGCAGGGACAGTCGCTTGACATATTTTTTGTCAATTCTTTTGGATCTGGCTTTCAGGTAATCTAGATATGGCTTGCTGTAAAAGTTGGGTTAGGGACGGTTTGGTGTTGCTATCTCTAATTGTTTGATGCCACATTTTTTTTTAATAGCATTAATCAAAAGTTTCCTTTGACGTGTAGGCTCTTTTTGTGCTTCTCTTTCTTCCTTTCTTATCAAACTTGAAAGGCATACCTTTTGCGCAACTTCCTTCATATTTGAAAAGTGGTGCTGGTTGCTTATTAAATATTGGAGCCAATACACCAGGCAAGTTCTCATGTTGTGGCAGATATTCTGCTAGACATCTTGCTATATCTTTTGTTCATTATATTCTGGGATACCTATGTTTTGGTTTCTGTCTATATAACTTATTGACCATGACTCATCTGTGTGATTAGCAAAGCTTCCTAGAGTTATCGGAGGGCTGTAATCACTCCTCTGGAAACACAAGGTTTCACAATATCCTTCTCGTCTCTGGTTAACCTTTTAGAATATTTTGTAATTAATTTAGCACCTGGCCATCTCCACAGTTCCATCGTTTTCACTACTATGATATGCTTGCAAATAATGGCAGGACAATGCTGTGTTGGTAATTATAACTATCAAATGCCCATAACATCAATTTGGTTTATACCAAGGGTTATTGCTTATTACATTTTCATTTTTTTCTTCATCTTGCCCTGGTCTTTTTCCTAGACAAAAATGCCATTCTCAGATTTTATAATGCCTTGAACTGTAGCTCTATTTGAACTGGGGGTGGGGGGAACTTCTATAATTGTTAGATTTACTGCTGAAGTTGTTTGGATATGTCATGAAACTTAAACTGGAACTGTTAAGACTTGAAACTTCTTGCACTGTAACAAGTGATAGGTTTTATCTGCGTTCCTGATTGCTTAAACCATCTAAAATGTGACTTATTGCAAATTTTGTAAATGTATATGGTAAATTGCTGATCTACTTGGAATATTGTGACTTTGTTTCCTTGTGCTTTTGACAGGATTTTGTATATCTGAAGTTATTGTTGCCATCACTTAATTTGTTGCTGCAGGTTGCGATGGTTCTCCGTTGCTTCCACTGCTTTACATAACTACCAATATGGCTTTCAACATAACACTGCTCAACTTAGTAAAAATTTCTTCTGCAGTTGTTTCCTCTCTTGCTGTAATGTTATCAGGTGCAGTCTCTCCCACACACACACACGCATGTTTGTTGCATGCTCCCACACAAAAATCCACACCTAGCATAAGCATATTGTTGATGTGCCTTTGCTTGCTTTGCAGTGCCAGTTTCAATTTATGTACTCTCCCGTCCATTGCCATATCTTCCTGAAGGTGCGAGTTTGAGCCCCTTCTTCCTGTTCGGCAGCATGATTCTTGTGCTGGGCCTGGTTCTTTACAATATAGCCCAGCCTGCTAAAGAGACTTCAAAATAGTTCATCCTGTAATTTAGCCTGAAGTTCATGTTCTTTCTCTCTGAACTCGAGGCATCATTGCCCGAAGTTCATAGTCTCTCTCTTCCAACTCGTGGCATCATTCTTATCATGGATATTGAACCTGGCTGTTCTTTTTCCGAATTTCTTCTTGGATCCGCTGGTCTTGTATACTAACTATTATTCATTCCTGTGCTGGGGCCTATTCTGTGATTAGTGTTTGCAGTGTCTGTTTAACTGGAGGACCTGTTGCATCTTGGATCACAAAATGACCTCCCATCCAGTATTCTACATTCCAGTGCGATAAAATGGCAACATTCAATGAATGTTCATAGTTCAATCTATTAGACCCACTGCCCTTAAGGAAGGAAATGCTGTGGATAGCTTCAAAATAAAATAAAATAGATTGATTATGTAAAAACTCGCTATTCCACTGATACAATCTGGCTTTTAATTTACACATGCGAAATCTGCCCAGCAGCCATACATGTTAATTGCAGCAGTCAATTGTTACTGACAAACTGGTCAAACATCAAGAGGCAACAAAGTAAATACTGCTCAGCCTATATAAACATCAAGAGGGCAAAAAATTTGAAACATACTCTAATTACTTTATCTGCAAGTTAGTGGTAACCAAACCAACAACTCCTCAGATAAAAAATTTGTGGGTATGGCACACAAATACATATCAAGAGGATAAAAGCAGAAACTACTTGAATGATTTCAATGACTTTAAAAGCATGCTCCCTTTTAAGCCACAGATTTAAAATGCATATCTTGAATCCCTTTGGCTTTTATACATCAAGATCTCAAACTGATGATGCGTTGTCATTAACACCTCCTCTGCAAATTGGTGAAAAAAATGTCAAACCACAATTTAAAGGAAAAAAAAATAAAATCCTGGACATCTAATTCCATTTGAATGTTAACTGAAACGTCTGAACAGATAAAAAACACAAAAAAATACACGAACATAGCATAGACGTTCCATGGATTAAAATTCAAACATGATCAAATAATAGTTAAATATGATTACCTCTAAATTACACCAAAAATACCAAAAGTAATTTGGCATAAATTGGCATTCATGTCACCAGACAGCTAGAAGATGTGGCCTCACACATTCTATGCGGTTAAGTCAATATACCAGAATCTTACTACAGAATTAAATTACTATGAACTAGATCAAAGTTGGTATAACCACCAGAGAATCAGCATAATTATCCATCAGAGATGACAGATTATTGTATAAAGTAAAAGCACCAGAAAATGTTTCATAAAATACTGAATGATGTACCTTGCGCTTCTTTAGTTTTCCCATTGCATTGCTACCATTAGTGAAGCTTTCTGTCTGCTCATTTGTATCATCATTCAAGGGTAAGGTTTTGATTTCATCATAGAATCCATCAGTCAAACCAAGCAACCTGGAACAATGAAATAAGAACTCCGTCAAGTCATGAAAAATATCATGTTTAATCAGATAGTAAAATAAATTCTGCAGGCCAAAATTAAGAAAGAAATAATCCAAAAAATGGTAAGAAATAGTGAATGTTGAACCATTGCGTACCCATTTCTTGACTTCTTCAAATCTTTCTGCTTCCTTTTCTCCATTTTGGTAAGAGGAACCCGTGTAAATAGCTCCTCTTCTTGTTGTGCACGATCTTCAAACTGTTCCACATATCTTTGGGATTCCCAACTATGGAGTCCAGCATATTCTTTAACCTGTATTTTACCACCATTGACAGATGATCCAGTGAAGCTGCGAATGAAGCCTTCAAGCTTAACCAATACCAGAAAAACAGTCCACAACTAACCTCAGCAGGTCTATCCTCCATATCATCTATCAGTTCTTTCATAAAACCCTGTTTAGCTTGTCGAAGAGTCTCTTTCTGCCTTCTCAGAGCATTTCTTTCCTGTTTTGACATCTTATCCTCCTCCATAATCATGGGGGCAATTTTGGGTGGTCGATACATACCACCATTCTACAGTATACAAAAATGAACTTAGCAAACAAAATCCCTCGCATGTTTCAGAAGCCACTAATTGATATATTTGTTAAGAACTGACCTGAGTCAACAAATCAGTTTTGCTTTCAAGCAAGTCTGGGTTTGGTCTATATTTCAACTTATCCTCTGATTTCTCAGATGCCTTAGATTCATTTTCGCTCACACCTACTTCATCTCTTGCAGCACCAGCATCCCTTGTGAGCTTTTGAATTTGATATTCAAGTTTTTTATCAATCGGCCGGATCTGTTAATAAACATTAAAGTGAATGCATTACCAAGAGCCACTTAACCGGTACACAGATAAGCTCAGAGAGAAAAAGAACAATATCCATACCTTCTCCAAAAACAACCTTATCTCCACAAGGCTACGAACTACAGGATGTTTCTCAATTGACAAACCTTTTGCCTTGCGTAGCAAATAAAAAACCAGCGATTGGCAATAACTTAGTAGAAGCAAATGTTTAGCTTCAAGGTAGCTTATCCCTTCCGCAGTCGGAACCTTATTTGCTTTTACCTATTACAGGACAAAACAAGAATTGAATTTTATTAAAAAAAATAAAAATAAAAATGATTGTATGTTCTTGCACACGAAAAAAGAAAGGGAAAAAAGTTATTTGTGCTAGTCCCTAAAAAAGTAAAATTTCAGTATACAAAAGCAAGATTTCTACAGAATTTGTTAAATTGGTTAGTTATAGCTTCTGCTTGCTTACCTTGGCAGTTAAAGCTTGAACTTTACTCCTCACTGTATCCAATCCTTCTTTCATTTCTTTCAATACCGTAGCTAATTGTGGAGCTTCCCTAATCATAAACAAAAAGAAAAAAAAAGGAGTTAAAATCAAACCCATTAATCTGAAAACATTAAACCCTTACTAAATTATCGTACTGAGAATTGAAAATCTCAAAAACACACTTTTCTATGATTTGATTCTGTTGTTCTTTAGCAGCCACCTCCATCTTTTCGTGAACAATCAACAATAACAGAGGAGCTAGGGTTTTAGAGTTTCTCTTGCGCTATCTGTTTTAACCGACGAGGAACACGAAGGTTTGTTTTCTTGGGGCCTTTAATATAAAGACTAGAGGGCTCTTTAAAGATTTACTGATCTGGGCTTCTGTTCTCATCGATCCGCTTGTAATAGTGGGCTTCTGTACAACGACGCCCCATCTTAAACGTCGAATTTCCACCGTGGACGAATGAAATTGGACCGTCACGAACAGATTACTTGCGCACCCGTAACGCAGTCTTTACTCTCCGTTGACTAAATTCTCTCCAATCAACTAAGTTACGAAGGACATGTTCGGCATAAAATCTCCAAGAACGACATCTCAAGCACGTTTCCCTAGAAACATCCCCCCATACTATCATCCTTACACCCTCATCACACCTGATTAAAACCATCCGAAAAAAAAGAAGAAGAAAAAAGAAATGAATAAAGTAACAGTCTCTTCTTTCTTCTATTTCTATTTCTCTCTGTGTGTGATCAGCGAGCTTCTCGCGGATCGGATCTACGCATCTATAAATAAAATAAAAAAACGAACGCGATCAACACGGCTGGCTACTTGTTCTCTCAATTGACTCGTAAAATGGAAAAAACAATTGTAAAGAAATTTAGCTTTTTTAGGGTTTCGAATGTTCTATTTTGATGCATTTGTGGGTTGCGACATGAAATTATGGCGCAAAGAGTTTGCGGTATTTGAATATTGTCTTGTGGCTAGTTATTTGGATAACATATCTGTGGAAGAAGTTTTGAAGTCGAGAAATTGCGAAAATGGCAGCCTCGCCTGTCAAGTTTCTCTTCGGCTTCTTGTTGCTTTCCATCACATTGTGGTTGCTCTTCATGTAAGTCGCCCAATTAAGATCGCTTTTATTGATATTTTATTTGATTGCGTCAAAATTTGGATTAATGATCACTAGTGCCAAAGAATTGAAATGGTTAGTAATTCAGGCGCGGGAATGAATGCAGTCAACTTTTTTGTTTTATTTTTTTGCGTTTCTGATAAAATGTAGTTGACTATGGTTCATGATTAAAACCATGAGGATGGATAGTTGAAAGACGGAGTCATGTTAATGCTGTAAAAAAGAGACAAGGGGAAGGCTATGATTATGTTTTGATAGATGATTTGGAGTTAAACAAATTGTTTGATATTTTGTGGTTTAAGACCAACTGTTCAATTACTGTCGCCTTGATGATTAATAAGCTTGATTCAAAGTTATAGACGGTCATGTGTATTGAGATTAGATTAATTTTTACTATGCATCTCTATGCAGTTTTGCTTCTAGGTTGGTGGCTTGGATTTTGAGCCGAATTGTGGGGGCATCTGTTGGATTTCGAGTTGGGGGATGGAAATGTTTGAGGGATCTTGTGGTGAAGTTTAAAAAGGTTTGTTTTAAAAATTGTTTCTGTCATAGTTGTTTTTTAAGAGTGAATTAGCAAGGAGGATCACTTCTTTTGACATTGTACTCAATCCTTGTTCCACTCCCAAAAAAAAAAAAAAAAGAGAGAGAGAGAGAGAGAGAGAGAGAAGGAACCAAAAAAGAAAAAGAAAAAAAAAAAGAAGGAAAAATGAATGTATTGTAGAGCAGAATATATCTCCCGGTTATAATTCACTTTAGTTGCTACGGACCCATGGTTGAGAAGAATTTTTCTTTTCTGGAATCTGCAAATTGTCACTCAAAAGTAGACTTTGACTTCAAATAAATGATGAGCCCATTTTACTAGAATTGAAATTTTGTTGAGTATGGCATGAAGCATCTAGTGCATCGTGTGTTTCTCTTTAGAAAATATACTAATTTAGTGTATGAAGCATAGGATCATGTAATTGATTTTGTGATGCAGGCCCACATAATAGATTTTTTAGGGCTACTTATTTTAGAAAGAAATATAGGGTTTAATTTTAATATTTTTGTTTCCAACTTTCAGACTTTTTATTTTATTTGGTGCCTATGCAATAAATAAACACCCTGGACAGACATTCAGCTTAACATATTATCATTGATTGAAATAAAAACCTGACTTTTCTCCAAGATTGAGTATGTCTCTCTTGTTTTGGTTACCTTAAGATTGAGTGTGTCTCTCTTGATCTGATGATCTTTTTGTGGTTCTATATCATTTGTTATGACCTTGATGATTTACAGGGTCCTGTTGAATCTATATCGGTTGGTGAGGTTAGACTCAGCATACGTCAGTCTTTGGTCAAACTTGGGGTTGGTTTCATTTCCCGGGATCCCAAGCTGCAAGTGTTAATATGCGACCTGGAAGTTGTAATGAGGCCTTCTCGTAGAGGCACAAAGAAAACAAAGACTCGAAGATCCCGATCCCGCTCTTCAGGCCGGGGAAAATGGATGGTCTTAGCTAATTTAGCAAGATTTTTGTCAGTTTCTGTGACAGATTTGGCTGTGAGGGTGAGTGATTTTAATAGTCACTACTATAATGGAACAGCATATGTTTTTCACTATTCATTTTATGTGTAAAATATAGCCAGCAAGTATACAGATTGTAGTTGATCACTTTGTCGCGGTATTCTATTTTTAAATTTGTATTGGTTTTTGACTATTTGGTTCAGCCTATTTCTTTTCTTTTCATAAAATATTATTTTGATTAAAGGTGGATGTGAGTTTACAAATCAAGCACTAGAGAATGAATACTTCTCTATAAGTATTTAAGAAGGAATAAAGTAATAATTTTTGCAGGGTCCATTGCCGAAAAGGTAATTTCATGCATTGATTGAGTCAGAACTTAATGTGTGTCAGTGAAGGGCTACTGACCAGATTATGGAATCAGAGGCTTTGGCATCTTACTTTCTGAATTTATGATATCTACTTGCAATTTTTTTGCCTATCGTTTTTTTCTCATGTTTTTATATCAAAGATTGTTTCTGGAAACATTGCAGACACCCAAAGCTACAATTGATGTTAAGGAACTGAGACTAGATATATCCAAAGATGGTGGATCCAAGCCAAATCTGTTTGTTAAGCTTAAAATATTACCTATTCTTATCCACATGGGTGAACCACGCATCAGTTCTGACCAAACGCTTAACTTCAACAGTGGAGGTTGCATTTCTTCAGGAGAGGTGGCATTTGGTAATATGGAAAGGTCTTCTGCTGTTTTTTGCTGTGAAGAGCTCTCTCTCTCTTGTGAATTTAGTCATGATAGGTAGTTTTTTCTTGATGTGTCTTTTTCCTTTAGTTGCAATTGTTGGAAATCTGATCATAACTGGTCTATCAATCACTGGTTGATTAATGGCAATATTACGTTATATTTGTTGGGCTTACTTTTGTTGTTCCTGCTCTCTTGTGCTTATCTTCAGGGGGTCATTTCCCTGCTGTCCCCTTTAAACAAAATGATATTTTCAAGCTCATGCTCTTCTTGCCAGTATCTATCTGAACAATTTCTTAGGAATAGATTAGTATTTTGGTCCTTTTGGATTATCTTTTGAAGAGTACCTTAGCTGATATTCAGAGTTATGGAACATTCTTTTTTTTTTTTTTCATTTCTGCCAGTTTGGAGGATGCCTCATTCTGCAGAATGTGTTTCTTTTCTGCTCTCTTCTCTGATAGAACTTTTATAAAAAAATGTTTATGCCTCTTGTTTTGGCTCTAATTATAGACATGCCTGGCCTTCAATTAAAAGTTCTTACGTGTCTCTTTTGGATGCAGAGAAGTAGGTGTAATAATCCAGAATGTGGACATTAACAGTGGAATGGTTTCTGTGAACCTTAATGAGGAGCTGCTTTCAAGTAAAAAGACTTCATCAGATGCCTTTGCTCCTACAGATAAAGAGTCAGTGGCTGATTCTGCAGTTTCTAAAAATCCACACAACAAACAATCAAAACTTGAAGTAATTACGCAGTATACTTCCATGATTCCAGAAAAGGTTAGTGGGCTTTATTATGTATGCTTTATTGGTATTCCTGATTACCACATGCCCTCTCCGTCTTCATGCTTCTGTTTCAAATTTTAGTTGCATCTTGTTTGTCTATGCAACTTCATATCCCATGTCTAGAATAAGGCTACATATGCAATGGAGAAGCTTGTAATTGACCTCTAGATCCTATAATTCTATGAATTTTGCTCGATTTTTCGGTACTAGAATAGTTGGTGCTTTTTATTTTTTTCGTGCTGATTTGTTGTAATTCTCAGTAGTTAAGGGATATGAAGAAACAAGGTGCCACACTGCCCTCTCTCTCACAAAGGCCCTTCGTATTTCTTTTTAGTTCTTAATTTTTGTTCGTGCTCAAAAACATGATGAGTATTTAGTTCTTGATTTCTTATCTTATCCTAAGCTTACATGACAGGCCTAGTGAGTTTCAAATTTGAAATTTATAGTTGTTCCTTGAGCTTCTTATGGTCTTTGTCAGATAACTTATTTAGTTTTTTTTTTTTTAGTTATTCTTGATACATAGGTAAATTATGAAAAGCCACCTCTGTGTCAAGATAAGACAGGTGCTGCATAAACCTGATTTTAGCCAAATAATCTGAATGTCAACTGATAATCTTATTTTAATCTGACAGGTTTGCTTCACTTTACCAAAACTGGATTTTAGGTTTGTGCATCGAGAACATGATCTTGTTGTTGAGAATAATATCATGGGCATCCAATTAAAGAGCATCAAATCACGATCTGCTGAAGATGTAGGGGAAACTACACGGCTTGACATTCAGATGGATTTCAGCGAGATTCATGTATGAGCATAACAATTGTCAGAGCTCTTTTGGTGTTGTAATTTTCATTGTGCTGCTTAGCCTCTTGTTGACCGTGCTTTTTGCATTATATTTCAGCTTCTTAGAGAAGCTGGCACTTCTGTGTTGGAGATATTGAAAGTTGATGTGGTCTCTTTTGTCTACATTCCTACAGAGGTAAGTCCTGTCAGTTCAATTACTGCAGTTTAGCATCTTTGTGCTGGTGATTTCCTTTAGATGTATTAGAGATATGGTAAAGGGCGATTATATCATTGTGTTCAAACCAATGACTGGCTTTGATGCTTACTTTTTCTTTATGCTGTTAGTTGAACAGTACTGGCTGATGCTTGGTTAGCATTGTTTGGAAGATAAAAAATCACTTATCATTGTTTATAGGTTGCAAACTGGTACTTGTTCCTTACCTAATTAAAGAGATGCTCGCTTAGGTTGCTGCAGTTGATATTGTTCAGGGTTTCTGAAACTTGCAGGAAAAATGAATTCGTGTTTGTTTATGTTTTTTGGCACTGGTTAGATGCTTTAGTCTCTCTTATTCTTAGTTCCTGATGGAGTTGGATTTGACAATTATTATATCATTTATTTTTCTATAAATGGTGGTGAGGGTAGGTTTGATTTCCATCTTATTCAGTGGGAGTATGCTTCTTTAGTTTTCCTGTTTATTTAACACAGGTGGGTGGCGGATTATAACTTGGTGTTTATGCCCTAGTATCTGGCTCATGTGTGGGACACTCATACAGTTTTATGGAAACACCAACCTTTCTCCTAAACTCTTCAAGATCTGGCCAAAACAAACGCACATTATGATTTATGTGCATCTATTGCCTTTTTAACCTGATTAAGGGCACTTACCTATCAGAAGAAAAATCTCATCAATATTGGTAGTTTTTTTAAGAGCTTTCCACTGAAAAAAATAAAATAAAAAATCAACATTATGTTTTATCTGAATCTAAAAGTTTTTCGTTGGAAGTGGTATAAGAGTAAATTGACATCCCTTTGCTAGTTGCTTTTGCACTGCACTCCCACCAGAACATCATGGGAATGCATATCCTTTCTATTGGGGATTTGTTGGGTCATAGCAGGTCAATTGAAGGAATGCATGGGTTTTCTTGTTCTTATAGGTCACACTTCCTTAGTGTTCTTTACTATGATTTTTGCCTATTGAGAAAAAAAAAAGGTTTTATGTATAAATTGAGGGAAATGCTCTCTTTTTTATAGGTTTGGTATAAGATAAGAAAGGTTGTTAGATCCACGGATGCACACTTTCTTTTTGTTAGAGAAAAATAATAAATTGAGCACTTTACCAAAAATATCAGAGTGATTTATATATATATTTTAAGGCTGGGGAAACTTAATAGTTTCCAGATTAATGATTTGGTATGTTTATTGTTTGCCTATTCTCTGGATGCTCTTACTTTTCAGCCAATCTCACCAGTTAGAGCTGAAGTTGATGTTAAGCTGGGAGGTACTCAGTGCAACATCTTAATGAGCAGAATAAAGCCATGGCTGCGTCTCCACCACTCAAAAAAGAAAAAAATGGTGCTTCGAGAGGAAACATCTACTCCTGTCAGGTCACTGACCACCAAATCCAATGTCATCATGTGGACATGTACTGTCTCCGCTCCTGAGATGACTATTGTGCTTTATAGTATCAGTGGTTTGCCTCTGTATCATGTAAGTGATGTGCATATCAAATTATTAGATGGTATTGTATCCGGTGAAAACAGCTGAGCTCTTACCTTAGCTCTCAGCATTTTGCTGGTCCTCATATCTGCAGGATTTTTGTGCAGGTTTTTTTTTGTCTTTATTATTTTTCTAGTGATCTTCTCAGACCAAAACCTTTTATTATTATTATTATTATTATTATTATTTTATATTTTAGGGGAGAGAGGGGGCTTTGAAATTCTCTTTGGAGAAGAGGTCTGTCTAGCATTTAAGCTATAGCTTCATTGCTTTCTGTCAAACTAGTGCATGGAAAACATAATTTAAAATTTATCTCAGTTTGACTCTCAACATAAACATTAATCATTCGTTGCTTCCAGTAACTGGGCCTTGCATCTTAAAAAGGAAATCTCATAACATTCATCTAGCCTTTTTAGCCAAGGTTGTAAGAGTACCATTTGAGTTGATGCAAAAATGTCATGACATGTGAAATTACTCAAACTTGCCGATCTAGTTGTCAGAATGTTAGTAGGTTATTTCCACTTCACACTAGGCTTGAGACATATATTGTGAACATGTTTTGTTCTCGTTTTTTTTTTTGGAATTTTAGGGTCATACTTTAGAACATTTTGGTATTGTATAGAGACAGTAGTGGGAAAAAGAGAAGGAGAATGAGTCCAAATTCTGCTTATCTGGAGTCAGTTTTGCATCTCCAAGTAAATAGACATTCCCCCATTCTTTTGTTTTTCTCTTTCCTATTAAACTTCCCAATTATGAACCAAACAGAAGGATGAAGTTGAACTATGCATTTTATTTTATCTAGTGGCCTTGCAAACATATAGTTAGTTGGGCCATCCAAACAAAAACAATCAAAGTTTAATTTTATGCTTTAGGCTGACCGAATATTTTTTCATCCAATTGCTCCCTCCCTCTCCCGAAAGGATTCATTTCTAACAACTGTTTAGGACTTTCTGGAATTGGCAATGTTAGTATCTTTTACACCCAACAGAAACTGCTTGTAAGCTATGTGTAATTAAGTAGTTAGCCATCTGTCTGATTCATAATTCACCATCTTGTGAAATATTCATCAATATAACCTTTACTACCTACCTTACTTTGAATTTGAGTCCTTGAAATCTCAGTTGTACAGCATCTTAACTTTTTATTTCCTTGTGTAGGGTTGCTCACAATCATCACATGTGTTTGCAAATAACATATCAAGCATGGGAACTGCAGTGCATATGGAACTCGGTGAATTAAACTTGCACATGGCAGATGAATATCAAGAATGCTTGAAAGAAAGCCCATTTGGTATGGAATCAAATTCAGGTGCCTTAATGCACATAGCAAAGGTTAGCTTGGATTGGGGCAAAAAAGACATTGAATCATCTGAAGAAGATGGTGCTAGGTGTAAATTGGTGCTTAATGTTGATGTAACTGGGATGGTTGTTTATTTGAATTTTAAGCGTGTAGAATCACTTATAACAACTGCCATTGCCTTTCAAGCTCTCTTGAAAAGTATGTCTGCTTCTGGTAAAAGAATGGCACAGAGTCGAGGAGGACGATCATCTAAACCATCAGGGAAAGGAACTCAATTCTTGAAATTCAATCTGGAACGCTGTTCTGTAAACTTTTGTGGTGAGACAGGCTTGGAAAACACAGTTGTTGTGGATCCCAAGCGTGTCAATTATGGATCACAGGGTGGTCGGGTAATAATTAGTGTCTTGGATGATGGCACACCACGCAGTGCAAACATAATGTCCACTGCTTCTGATGACTGCAAGAATTTGAAATATTCTGTTTCACTTGATATCTTCCATTTCACTTTGTGTATGAACAAGGAGAAACAGTCCACAGAGATGGAACTTGAAAGAGCAAGGTCTATGTATCAGGAATATTTGGAGGAAAATAAGCTTGATACAAAAGTTACGTTGCTTGACATGCAGAATGCAAAATTTGTACGGCGTTCTGGTGGTGTTAAAGGAATTGCCATCTGCTCTCTCTTCAGTGCTACGGATATTAAAGTCAGGTGGGAGCCTGATGTACATTTGTCATTAATTGAACTAGTTCTGCAATTAAAGTTGCTGGTACACAATCAGAAGCTTTGGGTTTATGGTAATGAATGCAAGGAAGATGCCTCTAGCATGAAAGACACCAATCAGAAAAAAGAACCCCCTTTGGCATCAGAAGATAAGCATAAGAAAAGGGAATCCATATTTGCTGTTGATGTGGAAATGCTCACCATATCTGCTGAGGCTGGAGATGGGATTGAAGCAGTGGTGCAGGTTCAGTCAATTTTCTCTGAGAATGCCCGTATAGGATTACTTCTTGAAGGCCTTCTTCTCAGTTTCAATGGGTCTAGAGTGTTGAAAAGCAGCAGAATGCAAATTTCCCGTATTCCTAGCACTCCTAGTAGCTTGTCTGATGCTAAAACACCAGCCTCGATGACATGGGATTGGGTGATTCAAGGGCTTGATGTCCATATCTGCCTGCCATACAGGTTGCAATTGCGTGCAATTGATGATTCGATTGAGGATATGTTGCGGGGTCTGAAGCTTATAACTGCTGCTAAAACTGCACTGATATTTCCCATGAAGAAAGAAAGCTCAAAGCCCAAAAAGTCTAGTTCAACAAAATTTGGAAGTGTAAAGTTTTGTATACGCAAGCTTACAGCTGATATCGAGGAAGAACCAATTCAGGGTTGGCTTGATGAACATTATCATCTGACGAAGAATGAGGTCTCTGAGCTCGCTGTCAGGTTGAAATTCTTTGATGAATTTATTTCCAAAGCCAACCATGGTCCTAAAGCTGCTGAAACAATTGATTCTAGTCAAGAAGGAAAGGTTATGTATGATGGAGTTGAGATTGATCTACAAAACCCTTCAAATATTCAGGAAATGCGAGAAGGTATATATAAACGGTCATTTAGATCGTATTACCATGCATGTCAAAAGCTAGTAACATCAGAAGGTTCAGGTGCCTGTGTGGAAGGATTTCAGGCTGGTTTCAAGCCCAGCACTGCCAGAACTTCTCTTCTTTCTATTTCTGCTACAGAATTAGAAGTAAGCTTGACAAGAATTGATGGTGGAGATGCTGGGATGATAGAGGTTCTAAGGAAACTTGATCCTGTTTGTCGTGAGAATGACATACCATTTTCTCGACTTTATGGGAGTAATATTTTCTTGCGTACAGGGACTCTGGCTGTTCAGTTAAGAAATTACACATTTCCTCTTTTTGCTGCTACTTCTGGTAAATGTGAAGGTTGCATTGTGCTAGCACAGCAGGTAACATTCGAAGCTGCTCTGCACCCTCTTCTTCTCCTTCTTCCTTACTCCATGATACTTGAAGTTTTTTTCCTCTAGTTTGTGCTCATATACCTTGTCTGCCTTCTCCATTACCATATTGAAAAAAAAAAAAAAAAAGGAAATGAAATTGGCTGGCAATCACTCATTTTTGTCACGCCATGAGGTTGAATTCTAATAATGAAATTTATCACAACACTGAGTGCTGGTAGCTGGCTTTCCCATCTCAACTTATTTTCTGTAGCAGTTTAATTGATTGCATAGTTCAGATTAAATAGATTAGCTGGCCTGCAGAAGTGACACCAAACCAAAAAATCTGTGATGTATGCTGACAAATAACTACTCCTAAAAAGTGTCCAAGTGTTTAAATGTATGTGGATAGATAGATGGTCTACGTTGGAGAGAGGCCATTCCTTTAACTAAAATACCCTGGATTTAACAGTAACCGGTTTGGGAGCATTATCTGACAATCTAACCTACAATGATAGAGAATAAAGTTTGGAAGCCAAAGCTTTTGCAATTCACTTATTTGAGGATATCCTTTTAACAGCATTTCAGATATGTCTGCACTAATCAATTTATTTGCTAAGTCAGATAGGTCACAAGTTATTGGCCAGAATATTTCATTTATGGCGATGTGCCACTTTTTATTCAATAATTTGGATCGTTATCTACAGGCCCCTCTCTCTTGTAACAAAATACATCCCAATACTCTTGATAGTATTTGCTTGAAAAATGCTAGAAAAAGAGTAAAAATACTATGTTACAGGCTTTTGTTTTACTGGTTACGGTATTTGAAAATGGAAGGGACTAATAAGTCAGTGACTTGAATTTTCTCAAATGCTGGAGGTGTGTCTAAATATTGCTATAGAAGTGTGGTGGCAATATTGTTTTCCCACTGCCAGTTTGAGGTGCAATATGATGTTGGGCTAAACTTCCTATGATGGAGGTCAATGAATAAAACACAAAAACTAGTATCTGTTTTTCTTTGTTTGCATCTCTACTCATCTGTGATATTATCTCTGATTACAATTTTTCTCCTTTGAATCAGGCAACAAGTTTTCAGCCCCAAATTTACCAAGATGTCTTTATTGGGAGATGGAGAAAGGTGAGCATGCTCCGTTCTGCTAGTGGCACAACTCCTCCAGTTAAATCGTACTTCAATTTACCTTTACACTTTCAAAAAGGAGAAGTGTCTTTTGGAGTGGGTTATGAACCGTCTTTTGCTGATGTGAGCTATGCTTTTACTGTGGCTCTTCGTAGAGCTAATCTAAGTGTTAGGAATTCTGGTGCTCCGCAAGTTCAACCGCCAAAAAAGGAGCGTAGCTTGCCATGGTGGGATGATGTGAGAAACTATATTCACGGAAATGTCACCTTATTCTTTTCAGAAACTAGATGGCGTGTTCTTGCTACAACTGATCCTTACGAAAAGCTTGACCAACTTCAGTTTGTATCTGGTTTGATGGAGATCCAGCAATCAGATGGTCGTGTTTATGTGTATACGCGTGATTTTAAAATTTTGATAAGCAGTTTGGAGAAACTGGCAAGCAGCTGTGGCTTAAAACTACCTTCTGGTGCCTCTGGTGCTTTCCTTGAAGCCCCGGTCTTTACTCTTGAAGTCACAATGGATTGGGAATGTGATTCTGGAACTCCACTGAATCATTATTTGTTTGCACTTCCAATTGAAGGGAAGCCTCGTGACAAAGTTTTTGATCCCTTCAGGTCTACGTCTCTGTCCCTCCGATGGAATTTCTCTTTTAGGCCCTCCCCTCCCTTGTGTGAGAGTCAATCACCTTCTTTCTCTGCAGAAGATGGCAAAGTTGTAGATGGAACTGTCTATGATCCACCTTACAAGCTAGAAAATGTTTCAATTGTTTCACCAACATTGAATGTTGGTGCTCATGATTTAGCATGGCTAATTAAGTTCTGGAACATGAACTATCTTCCTCCACACAAATTACGATCCTTCTCTCGGTGGCCTCGCTTTGGAATCGCAAGAGCTACCAGATCAGGAAATTTGTCATTAGACAAGGTGATGACAGAATTTTTCTTCGCATTGATGTTACACCTACTTGTATAAAACACATGCCTTTAGATGTTGATGATCCGGCAAAAGGACTAACATTTAATATGACAAAGATGAAATATGAACTCTGTTATAGTCGGGGTAAGCAAAAGTACACTTTTGAATGCAAGCGTGATCCTCTTGATCTTGTTTACCAAGGTCTTGACCTTTACATGCCCAAGGCTATCTTAGATAAAGTAGACTCTAAAAGTGTGCCAAAAGCAGTTCAAATGAGCAGGAAAAATTCTCAATCTTCAGCTGTTGATAGAATTCCCAGTGAGAAACGCAATAACATGGGTGGCTGCTCTGAGAAGCTTCGCGATGATGGATTTCTTTTGTCATGTGATTATTTTACAATCAGAAGGCAGTCGCGAAAGGCTGATGCTGACAGGTTATCAGCATGGCAAGAGGCTGGGAGAAGAAACCTCGAGATGACATATGTGAGGTCTGAGTTTGAAAATGGGAGTGAGAGTGATGATCACACAAGATCTGACCCAAGTGATGATGATGGATACAATGTGGTGATAGCTGACAATTGTCAGCGAGTTTTTGTTTATGGCCTCAAGCTTTTATGGACTATTGAGAATAGGGATGCTGTTTGGTCCTGGGTTGGCGGAATATCCAAAGCGTTTGAAGCCCCTAAGCCTTCTCCTTCACGGCAGAATGCACAGAGGAAACTGCATGAAGAGAACCAGTTAGATGCTGAAGAGGTGCTTCAAGATGATATCACCAATCTCCCTTCTACCAGTCATAAACTAGATTCCCCTTCTCATCATGCGGAGACATCAGGAACTTTTTCATCTGCATCAGATTCAGCTAAAGTAAATAATTCATCATTTCCTTCAATTGGTATGTCAGCCGTAAGCCTTGTGATTTTGGTTTTAAAGGATCTAACTTGGGAATACATATTTTGTTATCAAACTAGCAACATTTCAGAGCTCTTACTGTTTTCTGGTGCGATGCAATGCTATTCAGCATCGTTAAAACTTGTTTAGTTATGCATGATTATTTTAATCTTAATTTTCTAGTGTCTTTTTCTTATTTGAGTTGCGTCTATTTTGCTTTATCAACAGTAACAAATGGAAACGTTGATGATTCTGAGGAAGAAGGGACTCGTCATTTCATGGTGAATGTTATTGAGCCACAATTCAATCTTCATTCAGAAGAAGCCAATGTACCTTTCTAGTCATTACTTCGTTTGAGATTTGTCCATTTAGTTATTAACTTTTTCTCTTTTCCTGTGGTTTTGTTTTGCTATGATTTCTTTTCCTATGATTATGGTTTACATGTCCACATCTTTTTCTAAAGATTTTTTTTAGAGAAACAAAATATGAGTTATGGCAAGGAGAGGACCAAATAACATAAATAATTTCAGCAGCTCTTCAAATGTCCTATTTTGTGGATGTGTCTTCCTCCTTGTTACTCTTTATTTTTTTTTTTAATTTTCTTTAAAATAATATTCTGTTGATTATTTTATGCCATTGATATCCTAGGTATACTAGAAGCCTATGGGTGAGGGATTTTTGTGCTTAGGAAAGGAAAATGAAACCAAAATATAAGTTACTATGTCAAGGGAAAGCAATGTGGCTTTATTACATCTCATTGTGTTTTTGAAATCGAGGAGTAATTGTTATAGAATTTCAATTGCTCTTCTAATGTAGTTTTCTGCAGTAATGCTGATTCATTATGCTGGAAAAGTAACACGGTTGCTTGATAAAATGTTTGTGTTTAGAGTTTCCAATTGCTTTGTATTATCTATCGAAACCTCTAACAAGTGGTACATGTGCTTTGGGGTCTTTTTTTTTTTTTTTTTTTCACCAGGGTAGATTCTTGCTTGCTGCTGTTTCTGGTCGTGTCTTAGCTCGATCATTTAATTCTATTCTTCATGTTGGATATGAGATTATTGAACAAGCACTGGTCAATGAAAATGCACAAATTCCTGAACATGTACCTGAAATGACATGGAAGCGCATGGAGTTCTCTGTAATGTTGGAGCATGTACAGGCTCATGTTGCACCAACTGATGTTGATCCTGGGGCTGGACTGCAGTGGCTTCCAAAAATTCTTAGAAGCTCTCCAAAAGTAAAGCGTACTGGCGCTCTACTCGAAAGAGTGTTTATGCCTTGCGATATGTACTTTCGGTACACAAGACACAAAGGCGGTACTCCAGACTTGAAGGTAAAACAGCAATGTTATGCTACAGGATAGTTTATCTAGATTGCCTTGCTTATCAGCATGTAATGCTTTGGTCGTGCGCACAATTACTTTACTTTTTTTTTTTTACACCCACCCACCACCCCCCCCCCCTGCAATCCTCTGATTTGATCTGTTAAATGCTGGTTGTTTATCAAGTCAAATTCTTTGTTATGAACAATATGCTCACCTTCCATTTATTTTACTGTAGGTCAAGCCTCTGAAAGAGCTTACGTTCAATTCTCATAATATAATGGCAACAATGACATCCCGCCAGTTTCAGGTTATGCTGGATGTGCTGACCAATCTCCTCTTTGCGCGGCTTCCCAAGTGAGGAATTATTTTTCTTTTTTTCGACTTTTTTTCTTTGATTTCTTTTTGGGAATCATGTCTCAACACATTGTTTTCTATTTGAAATTCTGAGTTGCGTTTGATTTACCAGTTTGTCCTTTTATGTCCTGCATTTGGCATATCATATGCATGTAGAATTGCTGTGGGAGTTCTGTTCATCAAAGGGCTTTTTTTTTTTTTTTTGGTTTCTTTCTTTGTATCTATTTCATCTTTCCCCATCCGTATGTGGTTGGCTCTGATAGCTCAAAACAGTAGTTTTGATGTTTGTTCCTAACACTGTAGATTAGGAATGGACTTTGTGGCATATGCTTGGACCTGTCAGTTAATTTCTGTTTCATATTGCTGTTAGTAGTATATGTAGGCTCTTTATCAGTTGTAATTTGTAAAGACTTCAGTTAATGAAGATATCATAAAATAAAATGTAGTTTTAAACCTGTATATCTATCCACCTGATGGAACTGCTTTTTGATCTATAAAGTACTTAACTGCATTCAATTAATGTTCTGAAATCAATGGTTATTTTACTCCTGATTGATTAGACCAATGTGTGTTATTTAGGCCTAGAAAAAGTAGTCTGTCATATCCTGCCGAAGATGATGGAGATGTTGAAGAGGAGGCAGATGAGGTGGTTCCTGATGGTGTTGAAGAGGTAGAACTTGCGAAAATCAACCTTGAACAAAAAGAGCGGGAGCAGAAGTTGATTCTTAATGACATCAGGAAATTGTCTGTTTATAGTGATATTTCTGGAGACCAGCATTCAAGAAAGGAAGTTGACTTGTGGATGATCACTGGTGGAAGATCCACTCTGGTGAGAAAAAAATGGTGAACAATGTTTAAATTAGAAGTTCTGTGAATCATCACAATGCTAATTTTAAATGATAAAATTGTCTTTTATTTAAGTACGGTTTGTTTCCAGGTTGGACATTGATACTCTCTTCATATGCAGAGATGTTATCGCACATTATTTTTCAATTTGTTCATCTCTATAAACAGCTTTTGGTTGCGGTTGTAGGTGTAGGGCAGGATTCCCCTTGCTAGCACACGCTATCATAATGTTTCCGTGCTATCTAAAGTTTGTTCTGTTTTTTGTGTATCTTCTATGAGTATTATTGATGGTATCTTGAGCATACATTAGATTGTGACCGATACAAGCTTCATGCCTCCAGGTGCAAGGACTAAAGAGAGAGCTTGTAAATGCCAAAAAGTCTCGGAAGGAGGCATCTGCATCATTAAGGATGGCTCTGCAGAAGGCTGCACAGTTACGACTGATGGAGAAGGAGAAAAACAAAAGTCCATCTTATGCCATGCGTATATCTTTGCAAATTAACAAAGTTGTTTGGAGCATGCTAGTAGATGGTAAAACTTTTGCAGAGGCTGAGATAAACGACATGGTGGGCACCAAAGATTTCTTTCTTTTCCTCTTAATTCCTTGTTTTCTTTTCATCCAATTATTAAAAAAGTTACCGGCAGCTATCTTAGTATTTAAAATTATTCTCTTTATGAGAAGTTCTCTTTATCTTTTTTTTCTTTTCTTTTCTTTCCTTTTTTTTTTTTTTTTTTTGACAAAAAAACTTGCCATATAGGTATGAGAGCTTGGTATCCTAGTGGGTTTTGATAACATTTGTGTTTTATGATATGGTTCCAAATAGATTTGGGTGGCATTTGGTTTTAGGTATAAGGGCTTGGTGTCCCGGTGGGTTTAGATAACATTTGTGTTTTATGATATGGTTCCAAATAGATTTGGGTGGCATTTGGTTTTTTATCCACTTATAAAACATCTGATTCTTTGAAGGATGTGTATTTTTATGGGTTTTTTTTTTGTTTTTACACAGATATTTGACTTTGACCGGGATTACAAGGATGTTGGTGTTGCTTTGTTTACAACAAAGTATTTTGTTGTGAGGAACTGCTTGTCTAATGCCAAGTGTGATATGGTGTTGTCGCCGTGGAATCCTCCACCAGATTGGGGAAAGTACGTGCCTTTCTTTTTCTTTTTGCATTTAATGATACTTTAGGCTACCTCCATAGTTATTAGTTAATCATTTACACGGAGTCATGGTTCGTTACTTATTGATGTGGTGAATGTGTTCTGTAGTTTTTATCTGTTGGTTTACTCGGCATGTCTTCTTCTGGTTTATAGTATGTCGTGTGAGTAGAGATGGTATTGGGTGTTAAAATTTTTGTGAAGACAAAAATAGCGTTTAAGTTTTATGATGTTCCCATTATAGCCTTAATTATATCTTTGTTTCTTTTTTTGATCGGTCCACATGTAAAAAAAGTATGCTCATATTATGATGGGCTTAAAATTAAGCCCTGATTGTTGTAGTTGTATTTTATAATACCCATTAATGAACATTATAATTGATGTAAAGTAATTTTAATTGGTTAAGAAGTAGGAATTATAGAGGATCTCCATATTTAAGAAGTAGGCTCTTCATAGAAATTCCCATCACAATGATTATAAACTAAATAAAATAACTTAATGAGATAATTTATAATTGATTACTAATTATTACCCATAAATATTGTCATGTTATGAATTAGAAAAAGTTACTGATCCATGAGCTTAAAAGTAAAAAAAATGCAGAATGAATTAAAGAATGTTGTAATCATTAATATTTGTATGTGCGTAATGGTAAAATCTTTTTTTTTTTTAAAAAAAAAAGGAATCAAAGACATTCAAATGGAAAAACATAAGATAATGCTAATAAAGGAAAAACTATAAAATATGCGATGAAAAATATCTTAAAATTCTGCTAATTAATTGATATAGAAGTGCATAATTATTTATTTGCACTTTAATCAAATCCTTGCCTTTCCTTTAAAATATTTATGCTAAGTATACATGCCCTCCACTTTTTTCCAAGAGGTAATTTTTGCATAGAATCGATTTGTTAAGTTTTTTGAATTAAAAAAGGCATCACTTAGTTATACAATGAGTTGTACAATGATTTATTTTGTAAATTATGAAGATTGTCTGGTAGAGTCTCTACTAATGGCATGAGCACTGAAACTAATTGTAGTATAATTTGAGATTATTTACTATTTCTAAAAATATTTGACTACTATTGTTAACAAAACTATATAACTATATATCACAACTTTAAGCAAAAATATTGACCGATATCGTAAGAGTTTAATAGTGTTTCTTGAAAGAAAAGATCGTTTGTAACTAAACATTAAATCTACTCAAAAAAAATTATTTGGAATCTTTTATTTGAATCAAACATAGCAAAATAATATTAAAAATTGATGTTATTGATTTTTATGAATGTTCACTGATCAAAGATCATTCTTGTACTAATAAAGTGTAAAAAATATGAAACTTGTTGATATTATTTATAAAGATAGCAAAAACTTATTATATATAGCATCTCACACTAATGGATAGGATAATGAAATTAAGATGAGATTACTTTTAGAAACGTAAGGATTAGATTAGAAATCTAAAGGATATATTAATCATTCAATAGAAACCATTATCTTAATATCAATTAGAAACAAATTATAATTATTTCTTAAAACTTGATATATATTGCTTAATAGTCTTTATTATTTTATTACTTCACTTTATCTAAGTAGGACAAAACAATAATCTCAAATCCCTCCTATTTTGCAGCCATGCTATGGGAATCTGATATATTAAGTATAGGTCATTGGTGTAATTTATAATGATTGGAGCTTGGAAATAGGGTACAGGTGAAAGAGGATCTCGCTTCAGAAATTGAGACCTTGGCATGGCTCTTGTAGCATTTTAGGCTTCTCCACCTTAATTGTCATACTTTTGGATTAGATGTTCTAACAATAAGAAGCTCTGAGGCTGTGTTTACAGTGCATGTCATTTGCCGAATAAATAATTAGGTACACTTCCAGCAGATCAGAGTACAATGATATCTAAGTTTGTAGGAATGCTTAAAAAATTGCTTTACGAATGCACTGCTAGTAGTCATCCATTAGGTTGTTGAAATGGAGCAGAGACTGCTATTCTGATTCTCAGAAGTGCTATCTGTGTTTCTTTTTAATACCTGTTCAATTGCTGTAGTTTTTAAGTTCCTCTTTAAACATTGTATCGATTATTCAGCAAAATGCAATTATTTTTTGGCTGCAGAAAAGTCATGCTACGTGTAGATGCAAAGCAAGGAGCTCCAAGGGATGGAAATTCTCGTATTGAACTTTTCCAGGTAATCTAGTTCTCCTTTATTTCCCCGTTATTGACTCTTCATGATGGGCATCAAGCAAAAGTAGATGTTGGGTAGGGTGCACACTACATGTGTGAAACTTCCAATCTGTTGAAACCTTAAAAGTTTAAACCTCCCCCTCTTGTTTGATAGTTCATCCAAGAGCTTACTGAATACTGATTAAATAGGAAGACTGGAATTTAAAAGAGGACTATGAAGAATGGGGCATATATATTAACATAAACACATACATGCCCTCATATTATGGAATGTGTTAAATACATGTATGTTCATCTGTGCATGCTCTTATTGCTGGATGTGTCTGATCACTTAAATGCACAAGAAGCAGAATAATGCAACTCAATACACTGATAAAGTGAGCACATGAGAGAAGTGAGTTGTCTTCAAATTTTTTTTTTTGGGTTGTTTTTCTGAACCTATCCAGCCCCATTCCAAGTTTTAAATCTCTAAAGTTTCAAGAATCTGAGAACTGACAAATGAAACCTCCTGTTTTAAAAATATCCTGTTCATCAAAGAATCCATATTCTGGTTGGGCTGGAAAAGATCCAATGGCAGTTTTGCTTCACCATTAACTTCTCACCAGCCTACAGCAATCATCTGTAATTTTGTTTCTTGGAGGCAAACTGAATCCCCTTCATCTTTCACCTTCTAATTCTAATCTCTCTCACTTCTATATAATGTCTAACAAATACTTGATCCAAAAAAACAACACCTTACACAAGAGCTTTGGACGTGGCAAATCAATCAATTGTAAGAATAATTGTTGCTATCATTGTGGCAAAGCACCCAATCACAAACTCTCTTAGCATCATATTTTCTCCTTTGAACTCTTCACCAAAACAATTGTTGAAAATAACAGAACTAGCCACTGCTAAACATATGCTAACAGCTATTTATCCTTTGCCTTTGATTATTTAGAACATACTAGTTTCTGGGTCTGCTGGCTATTGTGGGTAACCTTATAAATTCTTTTTTGATAGTTTAATTAATTATGAAAATTTAAGTGTATGAAATTAAAATCAATCAATATTAGTTGTAAATTTTTTTTAATTTAATACGTACTTTGTAGCATTTAATATCATGCGTGCACTTTATGTTTGAGTTTAAATAAATCAAGAAAGAAAAGTAGATAACGAAAATTGTCAAATATTAAACCATGACAATAAGAAAAATTAGAATTGACTTACATAATTTACAAATCACCTATTTTAAAATGCAAGTAGACAGTTGCTACTTTTTGCAAATATTTTTTATATTTCAAATGATTTATGATCACAAAATATTATCAAAATTGCATAAATTAAATTGAAACCCTAAACCCTAAAACATTGCTCTTCTTTATATCGAAATCTTTGTCAACTAATATATATTCTAAGATTGTGTTACTCAAATCATTATTTTTTTGTCCATGCACCATTTAATGTTGCATCATTTTTATTTTTATTTTTAATATGTCTAGTAATTGATGAATACAACAATTTTTAACTCATCCATATTATGGTTAAAAAAAAAACATTAATAACAAAATTTTATATTATCAAAACTTAAATTTATCCTAGAATTGAGATATTGACCTATTTTCGGACTTTATTCTATAAAGGCCCAAGCAAACCAAAAAAGAAAAAAAAAAACAATAGTTCGATTCATACACTCAATGCAAGATTTTCAACACCTAAAATGTTTTTTTTTTTAATAAAAAAAATTATGCAATGAATGATTGTGATTAAAATTTTAAATTAGTTATTTCTTTAGGGAAAACGTAAAAAAAAAAATGAAATGAAAATGTGTAAAAGAAAGAAAGAAAAGCAGTCGGGACGTGCCAAGCCTGTGCGTAGGGGCTGGTGGGCCATCCTGTAAGCCTTGGAATAAAAAATAGATGAGTCACTCGCCCTTGCTGGTTGTAGGAAAATTGGGGGTCGCTGATTTTGACCTCAAAGCCCAATTTTTTTCACTGTTTTTCATCAAAAATGCCTCAAAATCATCCCAAAAACTCCCAAACACCTATTTTCAAGCTCAAAACTCATCTCAATCAATCAAAAGAAACAAAAACTCGATCAAATTTCAAAACTTATTTATATCTTGGGACTCCAATCTTTTCTCACATACTTTTTGAGTGCCAAAACTCACCATCAATAAACTTCTCTTTCCAAGGCAGACCTATGGACACTAAAATTGAAGGTTTTTGTAGATGGAATGAGACCAAATGTAGTTTTCCCTTTCTTCGCACTCTTCCAGCACTTCTCTCTCCTCTCTCCCCTCTCTATGCCCAGGGATGGAAACGTGATGGAACTGAACTATGGGCATCAAAATGTTACTGTTGAAAAATAGAATTACCTAACTGTAAAGTTGGTCAGTACCCAGCCAATGTTGACCCTTAAAAGTTCACTGAAATTACGAAACACCATTGCAAATTATGCCAATGAGAATGGGCGAATAGTGAACATGAGAAGGTAAATAGTCTATGCTTCGAGCCATGAACAGTGATTTCCCATCCTCTTTAAATTTTTTAGTAACAATGGCAACAAGCACACTATACATCCTCTCAGCCTTTCTTCACAGTTTATTATTTATCTCCATCCCTTTCTAAAGCCTCATAACCATATGCATCCATCAGTTCTGTCTCCAATCTCTCTCCCACTATAAATTTAGGGGTTTTAGATGAATGAAAGGGATAAACTAGATGCTGTTGTCAACTAGAGAGAAGGGAGTTTGGTGAGGGCAGAGCATCTGTGATCCAGTTGAGGCTTGGGTAAGGTGTGTCTTTGAAACGAGGAGTGGCAGGAAAAAGGGGAGGTGGCACTCTAAAAACTTAGGCTAGATGAAACAGGAATCTGATGCATATATGCTCACAAATGACTGGGTTTTTTCGTTTATTTTCCAAACAAGAACTGAGAACTGATATCTCTTTTGGAAAGCAACCTAATTAACCTAAATGCATCAATTTGGTTCAATAATTTGGTTTAAACGAAATAATGTTGACCCTTAGCCTCGTTGACATCTCTGGAGAGGAGGATTACACTGCATTGTGCACATAGCAAATAATGTTCCAAAATCAAGAACATAATAACCTGTTAACAGTCTTGATACCTGTGTACCTGTTATTACAACTTCCATTGCTGTATATAATGCATTTAATGCAAGGAAAGACTAGAAGGTTTCTTCATTCTTTTGGTTCTGATGGTCTCCAAATGCTTACATTACCATAACCACTCAAGAAAATGTTATATCAAAAGCATTTTGGGTGTGAAGGCTTATGTGTGCTTAATAATTCTTTTGAAGAGTTCCTAAATTTTTTCATTGCTTTATTTGCACTTAATATAAACCTTTTCTTTTCATTGCAGGTGGAGATTTATCCCCTTAAGATTTATTTGACAGAGACAATGTACAAAATGATGTGGGAATATTTCTTCCCAGAAGAAGAACAAGATTCACAACGGCGGCAGGTTAGTTTGAATTGTCAATTCTTAAAAGTCAAAAAAGGTATTTCATTGAAAATGCTAAGATTGATTTTGCACTTCCTGAGATGCAGGAAGTTTGGAAGGTTTCAACAACTGCTGGTGCAAGACGTGTTAAGAAAGGCCCATCAAGCCATGAAGCTTCTTCTTCATGCAGTCATACAACGAAAGAGTCTGATGCCCCATCGAAAGTGATTGGCAGTTCAGCCCCTGAGTTAAGGAGGACATCTTCTTTTGACAGATCATGGGAGGAGACGGTTGCAGAGTCTGTTGCTACTGAACTTGTCTTACAGGCCCACTCATCCAGCATTTCTTCCTCAAAAAGTGAGCCATTTGATTCTATTGAGCAACCAGATGAATCATCTAAAAGTAAGTCCAAAGAGTCCAAGCCTGTGAAGTATGGCCGATCATCTCATGAGGAGAAAAAGGTTGGAAAAACAACTGAAGAGAAAAGATCTCGACCTCGAAAAGTAATGGAATTTAACAACATTAAGATAAGCCAGGTTGGTTCACTGTGTGAAATGATCATTTATTATACTGTATTGGCTGATTTGTTCTGTGGTAAAACGTTTTGTATTACTCTGGTGTAGGTTGAGCTGCAGCTTACTTATGAAAGCTCAAGATTTAATCTGCATGAACTTAAGCTGCTGATGGATACATTTCACCGTGTTGAGTTTACTGGGACTTGGAGGAGACTGTTCTCGCGAGTTAAGAAGCATGTTGTCTGGGGAACCCTGAAGTCTGTTACAGGAATGCAGGTAATGAATCTGCACTGAGATACCCTTACTGCTTCTGAGTCCATTAAGCAATAACCTATTCCCTTGGTAAGGCTGCAGTTTGATTCTATCCAATCCTATCTCGCATGAAGTTTGCCTCATTTCTTATGGCCTATGAGAGATAAATGGAGGAGCTTTACTTCTATAATGAAAATGATATAAACACAGATGACTATGCTATGATAGTACCTGGTTGACCACTCATCTCTTTTTTATGTGTATTATGTATGCATAAGCCTGAGAGGCCACCTTAGCAGTTTCAGTAAAAGTTCCATGCATCAAGTCCCTTCTCACTCTCCTTTCTTTGTTGCCTTTTTCCTTCCAGTTGTGTATCTCAAATTTCAAACCCTGTATCCTTTTCATGTCAGATGTGGTTCCCATTCACTTAACTTACATAACACCTAAACATTATATCCCGAGACATAAAAAATAGAGAACACTTTGTGTTGATAAAGTTTGTACATCAAATTACCAATATTTTAGCTAAAGATAATATAATTTATAAATCTATTCTTGTATACTATTGGATGAAAATGGAGCCTTTCATAGTGATGAACTGTTAGTAACATAATTGTCTTTCTTTCAGAACTTGACTGATGTGGTATTGCAAGTATGACAAACTCTTGCTTTTTAATTTAAATCTCTGTATTGATTTCCTCTACATTTTTAGGGTAAAAAATTCAAAGACAAAGCACATAGTCAACGAGATCCTAATGTATCCAGCGTCCCTGATAGTGACCTCAATTTTAGTGACAATGATGGAGGTCTGGCGGTGCACTCTGATCAATATCCAAACTGGCTCAAGCGTCCAACTGATGGAGCAGGTGATGGGTTTGTAACTTCTATAAGGGGCCTTTTCAATACTCAGCGTCGCAAGGCCAAAGCATTTGTACTAAGAACCATGAGGGGTGAAGCAGAGAATGACTTTCATGGAGAGTGGAGTGAAAGTGATGCAGAGTTCTCTCCCTTTGCTCGGCAACTCACCATAACAAAAGCTAAGAGGCTTATAAGGCGGCACACAAAGAAATTCCGCTCAAGAGGACAGAAAGGTTTGCCAGTTTTTTTTCCCTCCATGGATTTTGTGTTGAACATAGAGGCACTAATTATTCACTTAAAAAGGATTTTGAACGTCATTACAACCCCACCCCTCTCTCCTACAAAAAAAATAGAAAAAGAAGAGACGTATCCTGGTATTCCAAAACAAATTTCATGTTTTTGACAGGTTGTCGTCATCCACTTTGGGGTATATTCTAATATATTCAATTTATATAATACCCTGATTTTCACCGATATAATTTTGGACTCACTTCCATGCTGCCTTCAGGTTCATCATCGCAACAAAGAGAATCACTTCCATCATCTCCACGGGAAACTACTCCATTTGAAAGTGATTCATATAGTGACTCTTCACCATACGAGGATTTTCATGAGTAGATAGTTTTCAATCAGCAGAAAGAGAATTATGAAGGCTTTGATTGGAAAATGCAGCATGCGATCTATGTTGGTCCCCAGTCGAACAAGGGATACATACAAATGTGATTTGCTTCAACTCCCACGATTTGTAAAAAATTGAAAGATCAATACATTTCCCAGTTACCTTTTAAGGCAGTTTAAGGGACAAACAGCATGGAAGCATGGAGCATGCTTGATAGTGAGAGTCTATAGACATGAATTGAGACGCGTAGTCATCGACAGTCAACCTGTGCTGATCTTTTCAAGTCCGCTCCAAGAGCCCTGACTACCCTCTTGGCTTCAAATGGTTGTTTGTGTATAGTAGCTTCTAAGTAGAGTATACGAACTCCCAAAGCATTATACAAGCTACCTGTATCCCACAATTTTGTACATACGAATACAAATTGGTAATACATAAATGCATAATTTCTCACAAAGGACCAAAGGTAGAGTTGAATTATGGCTGCTTTCTAGAAGTTTGAATATATATTTTGTTCGTACAGTATGATGTTATTGCTCCCGACCTCATCAAAGTGATGATCCCAATTCGGAGGTAAAGCATGAGAAAGAAAAGATGTGATGAAATTTATGATGATTAGGCATGCATACTGAATGCTGGAAAATCGATGAAAACTATGGTACTCATGTTTGGATTATATCAAAGTTCGATGAAATTATCATAGTAAATGATACATTTTTTTCAGATAGTATTTGTTTATTTTGTCAAAGCGCACTTTTAATGACTTGTGTAGATTGATCAATTAATCAACGTATGCTTAACTGAAATGACTTTCGCATCGATTTTTCTTCGAGAAAACAATTCTACTGCACAATACAGCTGATTCCAAACAGTTACTCAACTGGCGATCGAAGCCAAAATTAGCTTCTTCTATTAACAAGGTTTTGGGTGCCCAAAAAAAATTACACGGTCACAAGTGTAGTATTTCTGCCAACCTTGTCGCATGGGCAAATCCATGTATTAAATATCAGAAAACCAGCATACTTAATTTAGTCATTTGGACCATGTTAAAACGATTAACAAGTACATTGCAATCCCATAACAGCCTAACAACTTAATCACATATAGACAGTAAACGCACTCAAGTGTGTCCTAACGAATCATACAGAGGATCCAACACTAATATCTACAAGAAGCGGTGCCCCATATCTTGGTGTCAGCTGCAAGTAGCATCACATTTCCTGTCATGAAATCAAAGCTGCAATAGCGAATCCATGTCATGCCTGTTTATGTTTACAATTCACAATTTGCTAATTACACCCTTCATGAGAGAGAAGTAACTTTCCTTCCATGTAGCATCATGGTAAGAGGGATTAAAATGATGGCACCCATCTTCTATCCAAATCTCTCAAAACATTAATGGAGAGAAGCAAACTGTAACCTTCTAATCAAAATTAGCAGGAATGTCAAGTTCGATATCTGAGGGATTAGCAAGCTCAACCAGTGGTTCCTGCAAAATCCCAAAACTACTTCATGAAACAAAGCATGTCGCTGAAAAGCCTCATATTTCCCAACATGTCAAATAACTTATCATAATTTATCAAAAAAAAAATGATTATCATAAACGATATAAAGAAATTGGTCATTTTGTGTAATTAAAAAAAAAACCTTCATTAAATTTGATATTTTGGAGACAACTCTTAGTTGTTTAGTAGCACATGAACATATTAATGTACACGGACTGCTTTGTTTTGTGTTTCTGATAAAGAAACAACTCAACCATGTATTGAACATGAATGCTACTGCCATCCCCAGCTTCCTATACCTTGACTTCCAAGATTTCCCTTCACATATGACAAGGAAGTCAAGAAGCATACCACATGGGACATCAGCAGTTAGCAATCATGTAGTGTGCTCATCAATTGATTTTCATATAGGTATAATACCTGCTCTTCATCATCTCCAGAAGAATGAACAACTCCCATCGGCAAAGTATTTGTAAGACCTTCAGTAGCTTCTTGCAAAACCTGCACCGAATGATGTACATGTAACCCATTACGGTGGGAATAATAAATCAGAGAACATAATCAAGATTTATAAGATTCTGATTCAGCTTTTGATAAAAATCCAGAAACATAATACACACACACACACACACACACAGAGAAAAAACCACTGAGTAGAAATAAATCATGCAAAGTTGTTTAGCCACAGATGAACAAAAATGATTGCAACAATCAAAAACAAACTGCTAACACACAGAAAACAACACTGAGTAGAAACAAATCATGCCAAGTTGTTTAGCCACAGATGAACAAAAATGATTGCAAGGATAAAAAAACAAACTGCTTCCATCCGTTGCAAAATTACTGAACAACCAATAAATTATTTACTTGCATATGTCAAAGCTGGGATTGGAAGCATACCTCATCTGGATTGATAGAATGATTGTCTTCATTAACTGGCTCGGTAAGATCTTTAGCAGTTCCCTGCATGCCGCATAGATAATTTAGAAAGATGAAACATGCCAGTCCAGTTATCAACAACATAATTGCACGGTAAGATGAAACAGTACATGCTCATCCTGGTTACCAGAGAACCCCCTTCCATAATGGAAGGCTTAACATCAACTGGTGTTTCCTGCAAATCCCATCAACATCAAAGGTTAAACCAGTCAAATCAATGATAGTAAAAGTGTCAATGACATTACCATCACTATAAATGTTCAAATTAGAATGAGAATGAAGTGTAAAATTTCAGTGCTGGATTCAGAAATCAATAGATAGAACAAAAAATCAAAGCCATCTCATAGGACTATCACAAATATGTAATAAAAGATAATCATTAACAGGCTAAAATACATAATCATCATTGGCAAGCTCAACTCCAAGCTTGCAAGAGAGCAACATATTTTTAAAGCAGCAGTTCAAGAAAAAAAAATTTTTTAAAAAAAGCTTTAAGAACAGAACAACAAATTCTGAAAGAAACTCATGGAACATACAGGTTCAATTTGGTCTATTGGAAGATTCCTTCCTCCTTTACTAAGATCCCTCAACGTTCCCTGCATAGTCAACAAGGGAAATGTAGACGTAACTTCAAATAGACTTGAAAGGATTAATAATATTAGAAACCACAGAGAAGCACAATCTGAAGCATATCTGGAAATTATCGAATGAAAAACAATTTGTATTATTCAAAAGAGACTTCTACTCAAAACCCTACACGATAAAAAAAGAAAAGAAAAGAGAACTACATTACCATTGCTTACCTGTGTTCCACAAAAATGGTTAATTTCAAACATTCAAATGATTTATTGGTTTTGAACAGCTTAATTATATGCTTGCACATAAGTTTATCACACTTTGTCCCTGAGAGGCCTAACAATTAAGACTTCAAATGTTCAAATCCTGGGAGAGATGGGATGTGGATTTAGGGACTAAAATGTTGAGACCTCACTATGTAGTCCAAGACTTCTTGGGCCTCCTAATGAACCAAGAACAAATAAATCACATTTTAGTCCTTCAATTTTTAATTAGCTATGCAATCGAATGGCAACAGAAAATTGGATATTAGTTAAGTGTTATCCCTGGACCATTATGAGAAATGAGATGTGACGAAAATGCAGCGTGGGCATCAGCAAGTTAAACAATTAATAAGGATATCAAAGTTGTTGCAAACAATGTATCGACTGACTAAACAAAAGCATCTTTTCATGCATTTTTTTTTCATATAAAAAAGGGCAATGAAAACATGGGTTGATATCGAGCATGTGAAATGATATTAGTTGTCTATAGGACTTTCACCAGCGCACTGGACAGATTTGCATAGCTGAAGACGTTACAGAATGGGTAAGAGCAGAGCACAAACAAATTACCTTTCAGAACAAACTTTGAAGACATCAGAAACGAAGAGTTTATTTTCACCATTTAGAAACACCTATAAACAGATACAGCTCCATATGATTGATAATTGACAGTTTAACTCTATAACTTCATATGCATGCAAAGCCATCTCCATGAAAAGTAACAGTCGACATGCAGTTTAAAGCCAAATAAAAAAAAACAAAACAAAACAAAACAAAACAAACCAACCTTATTTGCCCACATAAGTCCACAAGCATTACATAAAGTTCTGGGTCCAGCTGGCCCACGACGCATTGCAGGAGTATTAGTTTCACTAACTCCACAGTGCTGACATCTCCGGACGCTAAAGCGCATTGCAAGAACACATCATTGTCATAAATATTTTTAAATGGTGGAACTGTCAAACCCAGATTATGTTTTTAACTCACACAGTTTCTGGACGAGGGCCATCCTGAAGGCAACTCTGACCGGAGTCCCAACTTGAACCCCCTGGACTATCTTTTAAGGATGCAAACTGTCCATTCTTGCGGTGCATTCTGGCAGGACAACAAAGAAGAGAGTGAGACATTTTTAACTTCAAAAAACTTGCAATGATATTACCAGACAATCTTAAAAGATCCCTGGAAAAAGATTTAATTATGTAGCTTCACATTTTCACTCACTATTTCCACCCCTCACATCAAAGTACTTTTCCTTCTGTGACAAGCATCTCCAATACCAACTGCTGCCTAGTTCCAATAACCACCAAACATAGATGGGCACAATGAAGTGATTATTTAAAGAAAAAACCCAGCATTAACTGCAGCACATTCAGCTGTCTCCATCCAATGAACTAAAACAGGCTTCAACTCTCAGTAGCTCTCACCTAACCAAATTAGGTAAAAAGGAAACAAAAGCATACAATGATCATGTTTTGAGCAAAGAAAAAGTGCTGATCCTGGCAATCTAGTTTACTATTTTTCCAGAAACATATGCAACTAACATGATCAGGCAGGACGAGAAACATTTTTTAAAAACGGCCAAATTTAAAGTCAAAGGTTTAGTTGGCAGTACCTCTGTGCAACCTCTTTTCGCACAGTGTATCTTATTTTCTTGTCAAAACATCTCTCCTTTCGTTTTTCACGGAACCTAACAAGAGAGGCTATTCTTCGTGAAAGATTTGAGCGCTTTGGGTTGTCAACCACTCCCTAGAGAATATAACAGAGAATGCATGAAATTTAAGGTCTGGAAGCAATGGCATTGCTCTTGATAACCCAAAAACTAAGCCTTACCCTATTATTTTGATCATATGGCACTTCAATAGTAGGTACTGCAGTAGGTATATCTCGTCCTCCCAGAAGCAAGAGTACTGCTTGCACCTGACAGTCAAAACCAATAATTTCACTCCTTTAAAGTAGAATACTCCAGACAGACAACTACAGAGAGATTGTGGAAGACTGATGGAAAGATGAACAGAACAAAAACAAATTGCATTTTAATTACAATTGTCCAAGTAATTAGGCTATATATCCATATATAGCAAGCAAACATGTATCCAATGCGATTGTCAAAGATGCAATCGTTGCTTCTGCAGTTCGCTAAAACACAAAAACAATATACATAGCGCATGAAGTAGATTCCCTGAAAATTGAAAGCATCTACGTTGGCGTATTAAGGCACAAATATGGTATGCTCAAAGTTGAAAGCTCAAAAGTAAGATACTATTTCCAACGTATATGAATTAGAAAAGAGAACAGAAATTTTTACACAAAATTGAATATACCACCAAAGTAACAGCCTTTACACAAAACTCGAAAGTACAAAATTTATACACACTATATATACATATATAGTAAGAATCCGTACAGCGAATTATCAAATACGTACATAAGCATCATATGCATACAAAATTCCACATTTTAAAGTTAAAATTATGGAGAACCAAAAGAGAGACCTTTTCAGGGGTAACAGCAGGGAAAACGTAAACTTCTCCTTCAAAAGAGAGAGTAAGCTCACTCGTCCTCGAAGCCATAACCACACCACAACCACCAACTCCTACTCCTACTCCACGGTGGTGCTCCGCCACGCTCACGCCTGAATTCACTTGCGTTACTGCTGCTGTCTCTTCCATGTCTTCCATACCATCAACGTCTTCGTACTCTCCGTCGTCATCGTCCTCGATCTGTATTGGAGCTCGCGTTCGGTGGTCCTCGTACGGACGTGCCCGTAGTGGCTGTGGATTGGCCGCCGCCATATAAAACCCTAACCGTCACCACCGACCGTCGTGGAAACTCGAAACCCTAAGTTAGGTCACTCACCAACTACCACCATTCCTGTTCTATTGAAGAGGTCATGTGTTTTATTTTTTATTTTTTTGTTAACTAAAAAAGAATAAATAAATTTTTACAATCCCTAAATAACTGGAATCGGTGGATTGCGAGTTTTAATTTAATTTGAGCAGGAAGAGAAGAAGAAGAAGAAGCTTCGAAAATGGGAGAGAGAGAGTCCCTAAAAGAGCTAAGATTTGCAGGGTGTGTAGTGCGCTCGTGTTCCTTGTAGAGGCTCAATTTGGAAATTTCTTTTAATTTCTCCCTTTTTATTTATTTATTTTAAAATTCTTCGGTTGGAAAGCGACTTTGTCGAGAAGAATTTCTATTTATATTTTTTAAAAAAAGGAGTCTAAGAGTGATCAGGGGTTGCGCGGGAGCATGATGTTAGGATGTGCGGTACTTGTGAATTCCGATAGATGTTTGTTTTCGAGTGGGGTCCATAGAGGCTATGGTTCCCATGGGATGATGAGTGATCTAATGATGGCTGATTGGGTGTGGAACTCACTCTGTTGTGGGTTTTTCGGATGATGATCCAACGGCTGGTGCAAATGGCCGTAGGAGTGCGGTGGTGACTATCACTAAAGATAGTTTTGATGATTCCAAAGTGGGCCTGGTATCTTGGTAAATTACTATTATGGGATCCCATGATAGATTAGCTGCAACTTTTTTTTCGGAAAGGAATTTGGATATGCATATTCAAATGGGATAAAAAATTCAAATGCTTACTAATTTTGTCAACAAAAGCTATGGTGATGTCAGTATGAAATATGAGTGGCAAGGGAGTTTTGAAGGAATTATAACTTGAAAAATTGGAGTATCAATATGAAAAAATTTACGATACGGGTGAAAATAAAATATCAAATAAAAGGATATAGAGATGGTATAAAATTTTTGAGGGTGCAAAATACATATTTCTTTTAAAAAATAAGTCTTGATTTTAAGAGTATAATAAAAAAAAAGCTTCAAAATTTTAGGACTAAACTGTGAACTTTCTCAAAGTTTAGAGGCATGGTGATGGGTCCAATATATGAGCTCATGAATCCAAGCATCCCTTTTTGACCATTATAGTAATTGACTTAAGCCTTAGCCCAGGTTCATAAATTTTTCTACCTTTTTTGTATCTTTTTTTCTTTACCGGAAAGGTTCAGATTGGTTCAAAATGCCACTTGAGATGTTAAAAGTTTTGCTATCCAAGTAAGTTACAACATTCATTTTCAGATGTCAAGTTGTCCTATACTAGTAAGTTGCAACATTTATTCTTTTAGTGATCTCACAATGCGTTCACATATCTAAAGTCTGAACCCAAATAATTCTCGGATTGATCCGAATGTGTTCCCTAAGCCTTAAAAGAACGGTATCTCCTATGTACGTGTTTGATGTGGATTTTGGAGGCCTTGAAGTGCATAGAGTCTAGCCTGAACAAAGCCCAGTTCACTGTCATCTTTACGCACAAAGAATTATCAGTAGCTGTAGAAACAATTAAACTGAATCAAAGGTTTTTTTTTTTTTTTTTTTTTTTACCTGAGGACAGACATTACCAAATAGAAAACAACAAGTCTACTAGTGCATTCCTGACCAAAAATTTCCCCGCAAGCATGGTAATGAAATATAACGTGAGGTCTACGTTCATAGTAATCCTAATTCTTTTCGTGAAGCTGACATTCTATTTATTATTATTCTTATCATTATTTTAGTGAAGCTGACCAAAAACTTCATTGGTTGAAACCTCCTATTATCCTTTCCCTTATTTTCTTATTTTTCAGAAAATGGAAAAGCTCTACATAATATTCAGTGAAGTTATTAGCATATTAATTAATTAAAGCATCTGGTACTATAAAAAACTACCAAGATAGATCATTGAAACTTTTATGGGATACATCAGGGTAGAATCCTCTACAGGTAAATCTCATGCACTACAAAGGTAAGGAAGAGATAACTTCATGTATTGATGATGGCACTATAATATCTGTACATTCCACAGGACAAGCTGGAATTAATTACTAGAAAACCTTCAACTTGAATTGATGCTGACTGCTGTAGCCATTCTTGAAATACAACTCAGAAACTCAAGTCAATGCTCTGTTATCAATGCTGTATCACCACCATTTGCGTAAGTAACAAGATGATTGTGTGTATCAATGGCAGTTCCAGAGTCTGAATCATTGGCTTCAGTTTCAACCTAAAATAAACGGGAAAAAAAATAAAAACAAGTACCGCATTTACATTACATGGAGGACAGCAATTTGCTTATGGGTGGGGAAAACAAAAAAGAGGACTACTATATCAGTACCAAACAAATTACAATTTTATGCGGATAAGGAATATACCTGTTCAATTGGAGTCGAAGAATGATCCAGGGTTTTCTTGGAGAGATCTCTCAGAGTTCCCTGCAGAGTTTTATTAGTCAAATACAGAATTCAATGTCTATTGTTTAAATATGGCAGGTTGCTTAATGTTATATTTAAATCAGGCCAATACATCAGTCAATTGGATGGCATGAAATGAATTTTTAGTTCAAGGAGTGGACTTTGGAGGGTGAACACTATTTGAGAGAGCACTACAGCTGAGAAATCTTTCCAGTAAATTGTGGCATGCAGATAGATAGAAGTTAGAGTACAGGAAACGAGAACAGCCTCTTTCTACAGAAAAAGCAGCAATTAAAATTAGATGGATAAAAACAGTACAGCACAAATGCCAAATACCATCAAATCAGGAGTCCAATTCCAAAATAATGTATATCCACACAAGGATGCAGGCAGGCCAACCTCCAACCATTATATGGTATCACTGATGATCTCAGCCAATGATGAACCTCCATGGTCCACTCCATCCTCACCGACATAACAAAATATGTGTATCTAAACTCCAAAATGACAAATCTTGTTATGAAAACGGTGACTCTTATTTCCAGATATTAATCTAGCCTTAGACCCCCACTTAGTCTTGAATGCTATCATTGATCACAGTTCGCCCCACCAACCATACATTCCAAACGCTTTCCCAATCACCCACAAAAAAGAGGAAATATAAGAGGGAGAGATCTCAACCAATATGCAGGTTTCAAGATATGATCTGGCATCCCACCATAAGATGCCCTTATCCTTCTTCAATAAGCTATAGCAACGCCACCACCATTGTCTGGCACCGCATTTAGAATAATTCTTGACAAGTTAAAAACAAACTCACTAAACCTAAATCTCTTTTCAGGTCCCCCAAGATAACAACAAGGCATTTATTTTCCAGAAGCAAAAACATAAATCCCATCCAAACCCCTCAAAATAAATAAAACCCACAGAAAAAAAAAAACCTCATCAATTCATAAAATGACCAATACCATGAATTAACAGAAACCAACTGGTGACCCTAGAAGGTTTAGACATGATCCAAATTCAACAGTTGATATAACTAATCATTGAAAACATTCCACCCTCCACCTAACAAATACATTAAAGCATGGCATGACCTATAACACAAGCTTATTTTAAAGCCTAATATCAGAGGGCTTGTTTGGTTCACTTGATCTTGACTCATGAGCTTGCCAGGTAGACACCAAACCCATCTCAAGCTAGCATTTGGAAGCTCAATTGAGCTTGAGCTCATAAGATCTTATTTGCCCAACAATGCCATGCTCAAAGCCTTGAACAGGCCAAAGCTTGCAACCACTGGGCTCCTTCACATCCCTAATCCCACCTACTACACAATCTATTATTACTTGGTGAATTATAAAATCTAGTTTTTTCGTCCTATTCATTAGATCGAATTTTCATTCATTTATTTTTTTCCAAATTTCTTTCCTCCAATCATTCCATTAGCATTTCAAAGTTTGTTCCTTTCTTGTCACCCAATTTACTAAAATGAAACTATTATCATCTTGACCTCGTTATCAATCCATCCTTAATCAAACTAAACACCTTCACATTAATTCTGCATCATATGCAATCAAGAGGATGTGCATAAAAGGAGGAGCAGTTGATTTAGCAGTTTTTAGTCTTCATCTATCTGACATTTCATCAATGGCAAGGTGGCACAACATATCTAAAGTTCCAACCATAATCAACAGCGACAGGCTACACTGAAAAGGTAGAGAAGAAACAAGCAAATACAATATCCATCAAACAATCACATGCAAATGTTATTACAGTATGTACAAAACTGAAAGCAATTGTACTGACTTGACAATAGATGGCAAATATAACAGTAAATACTAAATGATCATAATTTTTTTTTTTTCAACTAGCAAACACCTGACCCTTATCTCTGCACTGAGAATGCACACACACACTTTGCACAACAGCATTAACAATTTAAAAAGGGACAAGTAATGAAAGCAAGAGTATAACCACGTTTTATAAAGTTCAATAGAATAGATACCCACCCTGTTTGCCCAAAAAAGCCCACAGGCATTGCAAAGAGACCTTGGACCAGATGGACCACGCCGCATCATTGGGGTGGATTTTGAATTAGTGCCACAATGCGTACACCTAGACAAGGGCACAAATTATATGAATACTCAACCAAGTAAAAAATAAAAGTCCTTGCAGGATATATTTCATTAATTAAGAAATATGGCAACTTACGAGGTTTCTTGTTGGTTATCATCTAGTCCTGAATCCTGACCACCATCCCAGCCATATCCTCCCTCAGACTTCTTGGCAGAAGTAAATTGACCCTTATTCCGTTGCATCCTGATGTGGTCAGACAAACAATTAGAAAATGAGAGAGAGAGATCTTTGATGCAAAGGCACCAACAGCAACAGACAGTCCATTAAATTACAAATCCTTTACCAGAATAATTAGTCAGATAAGAGGCAGAAAACCTTTTTCCTTTTCAAGTTGGTAACCAGCCTAGAAAATTAAGAAAGAAAGAAAGAGGAAGAAAGAAACAACAAAAATTGATGAAAGCACTTTGTTCAACGTGACTACATGACCTATCATCCAAAAATTAATTGTGCTGATAAATTTAAAAAAGCAAGCAGATGCAGATAGCCAAAGAGCTACATCTGTTTTGTACTGATCATATTCCTAACAGACTGGCAGTGCACAGAATAAGACTTATAGATCCCACCTTAATCAAACAGCATTTTCATGAGGTATGAATACTTGTTTCATCTTAAACTCTACCAACAGTACAATTTACACTCAAAAATAAAGTTTCCCAATTTCTTTTTAGGTGCTAGTTTACATCAATGGTTTTGGAATTTCCAAGACCTAGGGTTAATGTTATGATTACTACATTAGCGCATACTATTATCAAGAATCACAAAGGCTATTGCAAATTTTCCTCTCAAATTATGTTTCCACCGAATTCAGGTTTCCTGAAAAATTAAACTCCCATAAAGGCAACATTATACATCACTTCTAGGATTTCTCATTTAAATAGTGCAGTGAATGTGGATGGTATTTTCCTATCAAACTATGTTTCTCTGCTACAAATTATTATCACTAAGTTTTCAATGACTAACAAAATAGGAGTACTGAAAAGGCTATTATACGATCATAGACAGTATTTTCCTTTCAATTTTTTTTTCTAGATTACGACTAAGGTTACTTGGCTAAGTTTCTAATACTTTCCCAAAATCAATAGTGTATGATTTCGTTGCTTCTAGAATACATACTTTAATAAATTGCTCGGAAGTGGTAAATGAGGAACAGAAATATTTAGGAAAGCTCATGATGAATAACCAAAATATGAATTGAATGTACATATGCAAACACATGTACATACCTCCAAAAAGAAAGAAAAAAAACAACTTGATGCATGGTTAAGTGCTCCTTTATTTATTTATTTTGAGATTACAGAAACAAATCATTTTTGGTCTCCTATTTACTAAAGATATGAATGCTTCAATAACATCACATGAAGTACGGTTTTTCAGAACAAATTAGACCACTGAGTTCATTAGCCTCCCTTGTTTTAATTATGCAACCACAATTTGTTGTTATCAGACCAATAACAATAGCTGCTTATGTCCAGCACTTGGATCATAACTGAATATTAGTTGGTCTTTATAGTTACTAATAAATTACCTCAACCTTTCTCTTCCCAAAGTTGCTAAGTATTAAAAACCAGTAGATGTAAATTGCTGACGCAATAGAAGGAAAATAATGATATGTTAAAGTGGAAAACCTAACACAACAATAGTACGTCCTATTTATTAAAAGGATAATCTCAATCTGTCACTCCTCTGAATATAATGTTAGGAGTAATATGAGATTATAAAATGGCAGCAGCCCAAAAGCAATTTTGTTTTTTTTAATTTGATTCTAAACGAGAATCAACAAAACAAAAAATATTAAAGCAACCAGTATCTTAGCAACTCATGCAGTGATATAATCATAAATGTAGAAAGTAGAAAAATAACCACACCTGAGTGCAACCTCCTGACGGACGCTATATCTAACTTTCTTATCAAAGCACCGCTCTTTTCTCTTCTGCCGGAACCTACTTAATGAAGCCGCTCGCTGAGGTTGAGTACATCGTGGCGGGTAGTCCACCACACCCTAGATTAAAATAAATCAGATCAATTCATACTCTATCAACATCCAAAACTCTCGTGTTGAGAAAATACCCTTTGGTTTTGAGGTGTCATTTCCAGACCAGGAGTTAATTCACATCCTCCCAGTAATAATAACACAGCTTGAACCTGTAAAGATAATAAAATATACAATGATGTTAAGAAATTTCCCAAAAGTCAATAAGGCAAACCCTAATTGTTCTTTTTCTTTTCAGTTACACAGAGAAGATGTTGTTCTCTCTACCCTAAACCCTAGAAATTAAGCCTATGTCAGATTCATTTGATCAAAAATGCAATTCTTTTTTTCACAAATAAGCAACATCAAATCTTTCTCTTGACCAAACTATTTTTTGAAAAAAAAAAAAAACTGAGTTGAGGAACAAAAACCGTACCTTATCGGGAGTAACGGAATCAAAAACATAAACTTGTCCACGAAATGTCAAGGTGAGCTGACTCGAACCATCACTAGGCTGAATCCCGAGTTCCGACGCAGCGACACCGGCGGTGACGTAGACGGATTCGGGAGAGACGTCATCGACAACGACGGTGGGGGTGCCGTCTTCGTAGTGAATGTGATGGTGGTGGTCGATGGAATCGGCGGGGGCCACGTCGTCGTCGACGCCGGGAGAAGCGATCTGACTGTGAACGTTCATAGGTTGAGAATGAGTGTACATTGGCGAATCTCGAGTGGACTTTGAAGCATTACAGAGAGAAGAAATGAATTGGCAGGCAATTTATGAAACCCTAACCCTAAGTGAGTGAGTCACTGAGTGAAAAAAAAAAAAAAAGATAGAAGAAGAAGAAGAAGAAGAAGAAAAAGAATCTAGTGTTTTTCAGAGATAGAGAATGTGTTGCGTTTAATGAATAGTAAGCTAGAGAGTTAGGGTTTTTGCTTCGGGAATAGTTTTCTTTCTTCGCGCGGTCGAAAAGGGGATAGAGAGACCGGAGAGTGAAGGGCAACGCTGGACGGGACGGCGTGGGCGAGCAAGGGAAAGGGAAAACCCAACACAAAATAGGGAAAAGCGAAGAACTGTAAGATTGGGCCAAGGCCTTCAGGATGAACACTTATTTCCATGTTAAATTGGACTGAAGCCTATAGTCAGAAGCCCACCGTATTACCTTTCTATGTCAGGTAGTATTAACTATTAATGACTTTTCTTACTATTCATCGTTAACTACTATTTGAACATTATATATACACTCATATTTTACTATTTATCTTCTCATGTTTCATTGTCCGTATCATTATTCATGACTTTTTTTTACACGTTGACCCCTGATATTTTTGAAAGCATTTTTCGATCCACATATTTATTTGTTCATCCATTTTGATTCCTAAGTCGAGAGAGAAGACCGAGAGGAAGAGAGAGATCGCCGATTAATCTTATTTAGGCCACTCCAGCCGGCGAAAATTCACTAGATTTGTTTATCTTTAAAAGATGAGTTTATCCATGATGGTTTCAAGCTATTAAATAATTAGAGAATGTAGATCGGAGCTAAAAAAGAAAAAAAAATCCGATTTGATTTTGTATTTTTCTTTATTTTTGCTTATATTAAAATGATTTTTAAGGTTTTATATGTGTTTATTGACTTTATTTTGGTCATTTAGAAGTGTCTCGGGAAAAAAGAATTTCGAATTCAATTTCTAAAGGTCCGAAAGTTAACCCTCGATTTTTTGACAAATTTTCGAGTGACCTCGAGCTCGCCGTAAGTAGCAAGTTTGCTTTCTTTTTTTTTTTTTTTGACAAGCAAACCTAGCGCGCCGGCCTACCAAGCACGCTAGCCTCGCTCGCACGAGCCAACCACCCCTAGCCTCCCTCGCATTTTTTTTTTCATGTGCAACTCCGGTTGGACAAGGTGCTTGGTTGGCTTCTAGCCAAACGCTTCTCTCTCCCTCTCTATATATATACAATAATTTTTTTCTTTTTACTTTCTAAATGATTTTTTAATTTTTTTTAACGTGTATGTATATACACATACACACAGAGAGAAAGAGAGTATATATCTAATTATACTAATTTTATTGTTTATGATTTTAGATGATAAAATCTTTATGATATTTTGTTTAGATTTTGTTTGTTAATAAATTTAATTTTTTAATATATGAATTTTGAATTAAAATTTTAGAAACGTCGGTGTTTTATTTTTTAAAATATGTTATTATAATTTAACTAAAAAACTTAAGAAAAATGAACGGTTACTCGTAGCATTACTATTTGAACTACCGTTCACGCTTTCATAATTTTCTATTCACCCTCTCACATTTCACTATGTGTTTCACTATTTATTGCTTTTTTTTACACTTTGACCCCTAATATTTTCGAAAGTAGATTTCGATCCACATGTTCATTTGCTCATCCATTTTGGTCTTTGGGTGGAGAGAGAAAGTTGAGAAGAAGAGAGAGACGGAAGGAGAGAGAGATCACCAACCAATCTTATTTAGACCACTCTAGTCGATGAAAATCTCCTAGATTTGTTTATCTTTGAGAAATAATTTTGTCCATGGTGGTTTCAAGCCATTAAACAATTAGAGGAGGTAGATCGGAGCCAAAAAAGAAAAAAATCCGATTTGATTTTGTATTTTTCTTTGTTTTTATGTGTATTAAAATGATTTTTAAGGTTTTAGATGTGTTTATTGACTTTATTACGATCGTTTAGAGGTGTTGGGGGAAAAAATGATGTTGAAATTCAATTTTTAAGGGTTTGAAAGTTGACCCTCGATTTTTGACAAACTTCCGACGACCTTTGGTTCACCGGAAGTTACGGAGTTTTTTTTTTTTTTTTTTGGGCGAGGCAAGCCTACGCGCGCAGGCTCGTAATGGCGAGCCCAAGCACCCTAGCTTACTCCGCACGAGTCAACCATGCTCGGCCTCCCTTAATTTTTTTAAATTATGTGCAGCTTGGTTACACAAGCCAACCAAGCGCCCGTCCCGGTTGGCTTGTAACTAGGCGCTTATATATATATATATATATATATATATATATATATATATATTTTTTTTAATTTCAAACTTTAATGGTATTGTAATTTGATCCCATTTTGTTTTATTTTTTTTTGTTGATTATTTTTATTATTTAAAATTTACTACTTTAACTTGTCATTTTTTAAAAATTCTCATCCATTTAATTTCAAATTATATTAAAAAATTTAAAATATTTTTTCACCTTTGATTTTATATATTTTTATACATTCACATCATAAAACACACTATCAAAATAAAATGATTTCTCTAAATAATTTTATATATTTTATTCTACCCGCAGTATAGCGCGGGTAAAAAACCTAGTTATACACTAAATTATATGTGCGTGTGTGTGTGTGTCTTTTTTTTTTCATATATATATATATATATATATATATATATATATATATATATATATATATATATATATATATATATATATATATATATTAGGTGTGAAAAACATAAAAAATAAATTGTTATAATTTTTAGATGATAGAATATATATGATATTTTTTTTAGATTTTAGTTTGAACATGTATATCTCATTATATTACTTTTATTGTTTAAGAATTATTTTTTAAATTATTTATTTCTTATTAAAATTCTCATCATGTTTATTTTTTATATGATTTTATTTGTTAATAAATTTAGTTTTTTAATATATGAATTTTGGAATAAAAATTTAAAACATCGAGTCTTTTATTTTTTAAATATATTATTATAATTTATGCAATAAATTCTTCTTTTGCTTTTTAAATGAGTTTTTTATTTTTTAAAATATATTTTTATAATTTATAAATTATGAGAGAGAGAGAGAGAGAGAGAGAGAGAGCTAAAGGTATGTTTCGGATAGTTTGACTCATTTTTTTTAAAAAAAAATTAATAATCAATTAAAAGAATTCACAAGTTTTATTTGCTTATGTGTGTGTGTGTGTGTTCGTGTAATTAATTTTGTTATAAATTAAATATATATCTACACATATAATACCAATTATTTATTTATTAATATTTAAAATTAATTTTTTAATAAAATAAGTTAGATAATTTTTGAAAGAATCGCTTAATTATTTATATACAAAATTTCATGTTAATATTATTAAATATTTTGTTAATAAATATATATAAATTAAGCGATTTCGTTCAATATATAGATTTCATTTACATCAATCACTAAAAATAAAACTTTTGCTCATGTTGCATCATACGAATAGTTAATTTTACGTATGCAACAGTTGTTTTATCGCACCATAGCGCGAGTATCTTATACTTTTTTTTTCGATCTCGGATTTTAATTGTATTGTAATTTGGTCACATTTTATTTTAGTGTTTTTTCATAATTATTTTTATTATTTCAAATTTTCTACTTTAATTTGTCATTTTTCTTTTAAATTCTCATCCAATTACTTCAAAATTATATGGTCCTCAAATTTTCTATAAATTGTTTTTTAAAAAAAATTAAACTTTAATTGTATTGTGATTTAGCCCATTTGTGTTTTTTTTTTTAATTTTTATTATTTAAAATCTATAACTTTAATTTGCTCTTTTTTTCAAATCTCTTCCAATTAATTTAAAATTACATTTAATGATAGTTTTCATTTATTTTAATATTATTCATTCTTTTCTCATCCAATTAATTTAAAATTATATGGTCCTCGATTTTTTATACAATTGTTTTTTCATTTCAAACTTTAATTGTATTATAATTTGATCCCATTTTCTTTAGTGTTTTTTGTTGATTATTTTATTATTTAAAATTTACTACTTTTATTTGTAATTTTTTAAAAAATTCTCATCCATTTAATTTCAATTTACATTAAAAATTTTAAAATATTTTCTTCACCTTTGATTTCGTATATTTTTATACATTCACACCATAAAACAGACTATCAAATTAAAATGATTTTTCTAAATAATTTTATATATTTTATCCTACCCGCAGCGTAGCACGGGCAAAAAATCTAATTTATTCAATAAGATAATAGTCTAATTTTTTTATATGTTTTAAATGAGTTTTTAATTTATTTTTTATAATATTATTTGGTAAAATTATTAGAAAAATATCACAAAATTTATATATAATAAATTTCATTTTAAAAATATCATTTAGATGGATGAATATCTACGAGTTATCAATGCATCACCACTTTTTATTTTACTTTGGTTGGGAAAAATCGAGACATCAAACTAATATTTTTTTTTCTTCTTTTCTCTTCTCATTCTTCTTTTCCTTCATCTCTTCTTCCTCTCCTTTCCTTCTTCTTCTTCTTCTTCTTCTTCACAAAAAAAAAAAAAAAAAAACAACAACCAAAATCACTCTATATAAAACCAATCTTGTTACTTTTCTTGTAACTCTAAAATCTCCATTTTTTCTAATAAAAACCTTCATATTCACCTAAAATCAAGCTTTAACTCAATTATTGATACCAACAAATCTTAAAATGACCCTTTTTTCTTTTTTTACTTTTCTCTTACTATTTTTTGGCCAATATTAAGTCCTAGCTTGTCTACCACCGTCAAGTCCATTAATTTCCTTCATTTTTTTAATATTATTTTTTGATCGCCTACCACTTCAAACACTCTTTAATCATCAAAATCCAAATCTAACATCACAAACCTGTAACTTTTCATCTTAAAAAAATAGATTTGATGCTTGTATTCCAACCAAGGTGAGAAAGAGAGAGTGGTGATAGACGATAACGTATACATAT